GATAGGAGATGAGTTTTAGGAGATCTGTTAGGTGTTGATTCTACCAATTTTTGCATAGATAATTGATGAGTTAACTTTTCTTCTTGCCATTTGGTTTTGTAAAGTGAAAGTGGCCATTTTCTGCGTTTACGAAGAAAGTAATTGTTCATAGAGCTTCTAGCTGAATATGAATGTGAAGAAGAGTGTAGTTTCTTGTGAAGTGGGAATAATCGCCTGAACAGAGACATTTCTTCGCCGGAGCTGAAGATTGATATCAAGTTGTTTCAGGTAAATTGCAGAAATCAAAGATGGTTCTGGACTTCCATTGGAGTTTGGACGATAAAGGAGGCCCATATAACCTAGGCCCAATGGGTTTCCGGTCCGTTCGGATGGATTATAAAAATTTTGAGGGAAAATTTCATATATGGCAAACTTATTTGATTAAATAACATTATATGGGTATAGTTTACCTAATTATATTCTATGGGTATAGTTTAGTTATTTTAGGTATCTTTAATTTTGTATATAAGGTTTCTTTTGTTTTTTATTCATATAATTTTATTTTAAAAAGTGATTTGTAACTGAAGCGTTAAATATGCTAACAATAAATATAGATAATGCCATAATTTAAGGTAAACGTCCTTTTTTTAAGGTAAAACGTTCAAATTCAATTTTTTTTCAAAAAAATAAGAATTATACAGCAATTGAAACAAAAGATATACTTGTTTTTGCTGTTTATGAAATAACATTTCATCAATTTTTTTTTATTTTTTCTTTGTAATCGAATTCAGATAAGTGTTCATTGGATGAAAATTCATGTTTAGTATTGCAATAATTATACAATGTTCTATTGGATTTACAAATTTTGATTTATGTGTGTTCGTTATTGTGGTGTCATAATTTATTTATTTTTTGAGAAACTGGTTTCAAAATATGATTATTTTAAGCAGAAATTTCGTACTATACAATTATATACTTTTTGTTGATGTAGTATTTGTATATTATAAAGAAGATCAGTGTAAGCGAATACAGGTAATCGTTGGTGATAATTGTATATAGCCATAAAGTAAGTGTTTTGCTTTTGATACAATTATATACTTTTTTTTTTGATGTAGTATTTGTATATTAAAAAGAATATCAGTGTAAAATCAATTCAGTAATTTGATTGTATAATATATACAAAAATAGACAATTTTAAAAGAAGTCATGTATAGATTAATTTTTGTATATGTATATAAACTTAATATATACTAACTTCAATAATTTGTATATAACTAATAAAATATACAAATTATAATCATATATGAAATTTTTTCATCTGTATAACTAAGTCCAATTACTTTTTGTATATATATACAAAAACAAAAATAATAATGAGTCTTTAATATACAATCTGCTACTACCACTATTAAGACTTAGTATATTATTCATTATACATAACTTAAAGTATGTATAAAGTAATCAAATCTACAGACACATATACAAATATATAACTAAAACATGTGTGTACTAAATATGCAATATACTATATACAATTATGTGGATACAAAATATACTTAAACAATAATGTTTTGTATATTGACATCTAAGTAACAAAAAAATTGTATCTAAATTTGTGTTTTAAGCCACTACCTCATGATCATTATGTTCTTCAGATCCGTCAACTTCACATGCATTTTCCTCTGAATCAATGTTTACTGTTTACCTCTTTCTTCCTCCTTGTACAATTTTAATGCCTCTAGCTTTAGCATTGTTAATAACTTCTTGAACTGCCGTAAGGTCATATTTTTTCTTTGATCTCAATTCTTCCATTGTTTGTTCATGTTGAACTTGTTTTGATTTTACCATAGACCCTAGATCAACCCCAAAATCTTGAGTTAAACCCATTGAAAACGATGGTAAATTGTCAACAAAATTGACATGCAATGGAATACCTCTGGTAATCCTCATAGATGAAGATGATTCATTCATTCTGTGACTAATTTGAGATCTAATAAGAACAAACAATCGATTATTTCATCAAAAAAATATGAAAAAACATAAGAAACACAATACATATACAATTGTTGAATAAGAAAAAAAAAGGAAAACGACTAAAATTTAGGAGTACCTACGAAAATTGAATTCAACTTCTAGAGAGAGTAATTGAATTTTGGACAATTTGAAATTTAAATCGGATAGAAGTATTAATTGTAGGAGAAAAAGGTGGAATATGAATAGAAGAGATAATATTGTTTTGATAAAATTATAAACAAAATTTAAAAAAAAAAGGTTTTTTATACTATTGGTTATATAATAGGTGATGGACCCCATTAATTATAGCAAAAAAAAAAAACTATAATTATAGAAAGTAAATAAATTAAACTATACCCCTATTATATAATTACTTAGGAATGTTTGCCATTCCATATAATTTTCCCTTATATGAATCACATACTTTTAAAGTAAAATTTCAATATATTCCTTAAATACTTATAATTACAAAAGTCCCTGAAAATGAATACAATAATATAAACGTTTGTATGTTAATCTAATGCGCGGGATACATTAAATCGTTAAGTAAGATACATTATATTTTATACATGATACATTCATCTGATGTACATTTTGTACATGATATACTAACTTGATGCGCTGGATACACTAATCTGATGCACGAGATTCACTAATATGATGTGCGAGGTACATTTTATACATGATACACTTATATGATGCGCGAGAGACAAAATTTGTAAAACTTATAGAGGATAATGGTAATAAGTAAACTAAAAGATGAAATTTCCATAATCAATCTATATTTTAATTTCAATTTTTGATTTTTGAATTTAAGAACTTAAAATGGATAACTTATAGAACTCTTACAAGTTTAGAAGTCAATTATTATAATTTATGCTAGTTTTCATTTCTACAAATCTTACCAAAATTTTTGTATGTCCAAGTATGTACGAATACATGTATCTCGAGATATATGGTATTAAAATTAAGTGTAATTAATTTTAGATATATAGTATTTAAATCGATTTGTATAAATAAATATCGTTTCCTTCCTCCCATCTCGCTCACGTATTTGATATCTCAGATACACGTGAATCACCCAAAATACATATATATCCATTTTATTAAGTGAATATAGACCAATAAATATTCATAAAAATAATATGCACCAATTTATTAAGCTAATACGGATCAATGTATACCAGTGTTGTAAAACCCTGCTCGTTTGAACGCTACACTAACTCATGGGATAAGACTAAGAGCTTAATGTGTAAAGAAATATGTTTTACAAGGTATTTCAAATGAACAATAGTTGTATAATATGTTTTGAAGTCAAGCAAGTTGTAAAATAAAGTTAAAAAAATAATTTTAACTTTCATTTAAGAAAATCTCTTAAAATTTGGGTAAAATATGTTGTGCGTTTTCTTCCAATCTGTAAAGAGTTAGTGGCCCTCGACATATCATATCAATGATTTAGCACTAAACTCTTTGTCTATTTGATCTCATATTAGAAAGATATTCATGTTTTTGTAAGACTAGGCAATCAGACATGTTAAGGTAGCCCCTATGTCGATTTAGCTTTATAAAAGCTATTTGTGCTTCGTTTTAACTCACAAAAATTAATAAAAATTCATACAAAGTCATAACGAAAGTCCCAAAGTTCATAGCGAGCTTGTCGTTTTTGTATATTCTTACTCATCAATTTCGTGGCGTACCTTCATTGAGTCCGGAGCCTAAAGGGTATAAAATGTTAACAAAAATTCTAAAATGGTATATGTATTTTTATCTTAATCAAAAGGATAAAATTGCTAGAAGAGGAGCGATTTCTGTCATCGGAAAAAAATTTGAAACTAAGAAATTGCTCCCTAAGCAGCGATTTCTAAAATAATTTTTTTTTAATAAATCGCTCCCTAAGCAGTGATTTTCATAATTTTTTATTTGAAATTAAAAAAAAAATTAGGAGCAAATCGCTGCAAGTGCAGCAATTTGTCTCCAATTTTTTTAAAATCAATTTTTAGAAAATTTTTGATTGATACTTATTTTAAAAAATCATTAAAAAAATTATTTTGGAATAAGTAGTAGAAAAATTTAAAATTACAATTTCTTTAAATAACTTAAAATTTAATTTTAAAAATTGTAAAAAAAATTGATTGGAAAAAATAAAAAAAAAAACAATTTGGACTAGCAGCGATTTGTTCTTAAATTTTTTTATTAAATAAATAATTTAAAAAATTAAAGAAATCGTTAATTACACAGCGATTTATTAAAAAATTATTAACAAAAATTTGTTTTGGAAATCGTTGCTAAGGCAGCGATTTTACTTTTTCCGGCGAGCGAAATCGCTGTCCTTCCAGCGATTTTGCCCTTTTGGTTAAAATAAATATTCATATACCATTTTAAAAATTTTGTTAACATTTTATACTCTTTAGGCTCCGGACTCTATCTTCATGGGTGTTTTGTCAGCGAGATAGCATGTGACTATTCAGTATTTAGTAGTAGTATGAATATATAACAATTAATTATTATAGTGTTAAAGATGTTCTAAACACTATTTTTAACTAGATAAAGGAGACCTTGGATAAACATGATTAAATTAAAGCTTATGAAATTGAAAACAATTATTGTATATTCTTGATGAAGAAAAAAAGATTGAAACCTTGACTTTTAAAAAACAGCACACAATTAATTTATATGAAATCAAACCGGAAGAAAACGAGTATTGACAATGACACATACTAATATGTCATACTTTCATTAATCTATCCAAATCAAAGATGTATATAACTTATTCAAACAATGCATTTCAACTATTGAAATTTATAATAATTAATTGTCTCTTTGTTGATTTATATCATTATTCTTTGACTAGTGAACGACTTTTCAATTGTAATTTTTTTGTTGCAATTTGAATATTCTTTCACCGTGTGCTATTGGATATTTGACTTTGTTAGCAATTAATATATAATTCATACACGACACTATTATCCAATATAAATAGACTATATACGTTGTAGATAAATTCAAAGTATCATTCTCATCATCACCCTCTTTTATAATCCTTTTTTTTTTTATAATATAATAAAGATTGCTTTGAATAATTAATCTAAATTACATAATACCAACAAATTCTTTTGTAAAAGTTGTGTTATGGAAGGAGATAATAACAAAACAATTGTGATAGGTCCACAATTTTGTTCTCCTCAACCTCTTCAACTATTCATAAATAAGAAAATTTACTTCTTTAGTGGGCATGGATATGAAGTTAAAGATGATAATGGTAATATGGTCTTCACTATTGAAAATCTTTTGGGGTTTTTTCGTAGAAAGTTGATCATTTTTGATGCTGCTAATGTACCAATTCTTACCCTAAAAAGCAAGGTAATATAATTAAGTTCTTTTCTTATATAGGTTCCGCTTTTTCTAAAACATCAACTAGCCGTGTTGTTAAATACTCCCTCCGTTTAAAAAAAAAATAATCTCCTATCATTTTTAGTCTGTCTAAAAAAAATAATCATCTCTTTTTTTTTTGTAACATTTTAATTTCAACTTTTTATGTAGCATGTTTAAGACCACAAGATTAAATGACAGTTTTGTACATTTCACATAACTTTAAGTTACGATCACAACACAAAATTCAAAAATTTTCTTTATTTTCTTAAATTTCGTGTCAAGTCAAGTCAGATAATTTTTTTTAAAAAAAACGGAGGGAGTAACACTTATTTTAAGATGGATGGAGCATATAGTTATGCTTCTATTTCTATAACTCATCAAATTTGTCTTTTAAAGTTAAGGTGTTGATGAAATATATTTGGTGCAGCATTTTACATGGCATAGTAGATGGGAATGTTTTAAGGGAGATAGCACTGATGAAAAGGACCTCATATTTAGTGCTAAGAATTCTTCAATGTTTCAATTCAGAAGAAACTTGGATATATTCTTAGCCAATAATATATCACAACAAGTTTGTGATTTTAGAATGAAAACTAGCTACAGGGAGTCAAATTGTGATATTTTTGCTCGACAATCATCCACTCTAATTGCTCAGGTAAAATCCAATTTCCTATTTTTTTTTTATATATATATATAATTTTCTAGAAAGGTAAATAATTACTTATATGATAATTAAACCAAACGTTATATTATAATTTCTATGTATATCGAGAGAAAAAAAATGACACGTTTAATGATAATTTTAGCTTATTTAATGATATGCTTTTATGCTTATAAAATAGCATGACATGTTTAGGATAAAAACAAATTATCTATCATATTATTAAATGAAATTGAACAAGTACTTTTTTATCCCTAGGAGTCCCGACCCTTGCTTTCTTGGTGACTCGAACTCGCAACCTTCGGATTGAAAGTGAGGAATGCTTACCATCTAAGCAACTCTCACTCATCAAATTGAACAAGTACTAGTTGTTTCGTTGTGACAATTTGTATAGTGTAACACATGCATATTGAAAGAATTTAATTTAATACGTAGTGTATTTATTGGAGTTGGGCAATGATTAATTACATCTATGCAGCTTGGACTCTATTTTTTCCTCATGATCACTTGTTTTTTGTATTTCATATATACCCAAAACTTTGATTATTTTTTTTTAAATTTAATTACATTATTTCCATTATTGGATTTTTGGAAATGTAGATGGATAAGAAGTATACAACTGGAAGTGTATTCCTAGGAAGAGACAAATACATGGTGAAAGTGAATTCAGATGTGGATCATGCCTTCATAGTTTCACTTATAGTTATCCTTGAAGAGATAGCCAGCTCAGGACAAGGCAGCAGTACTCATCCCTAAACATTGGACCGTTTGGTTACTGTACAAGAAACATCTTATTCATGTATAAAAAATTTTATTAGCCTTAGTATGTTTGGTAGAAGTTATAAGGTATAAAAGTCAACATAATTTATATCATGTTTGGTTGCACTTTTGTTGTCCTACATAATTAATACCAACATAACTTGTGAGGAAATCTATGTATAAAAGTTATGCAGGGTAAAAGATGGAATAAGTTATGCGGGTATTAGTTATACATGTATTAAAGTGATAAATTACATACTTACCCTATTAAATTATTTTATTGTTTTAATTGGAAACTTTATTGTTTTTCTATATATAGTTTTTTTTTTTAATATTTAGATCATTTTTATTTATTTTATTTTATTTTTTTTAATTGAAAACTTTATTGTGTCCTATCAACATGTGTTGTTTTTATTTCTTATTTTATATATAGATTATTTTTATTTCTTTTTATATATTTGCCATTTTGATTGATTTATACAAATATAATATTTTTTAATATTAAAAATTGGTGGTATATTTTTAACGGTACATATGCTAATCACAGTATTAGCATTATATATTCTTCAATATATTTCACATTTTATTACCATGTATTATTTTTGTAAATAATATATATTAATAATTTACAACAAGTTTAATATTCAATAGTTAATAATTCATGTAATGTAATCTCTACGTAACTAAATAATATCTACATAACTAATATCCACATAGCTATTACCCGCATAATTAAACCAACATAACCAAACTTGCATAACTAAACCCTGCATAATTAAAATCTGCATAACTAAACACTGCATAGCTAATACATGCATAACTAAACTCTGCATAACTAATATCTGCATAACTAATACATGCACAACTCTAACCAGTAACCAAACAGCCCCTAATGGATATATATATATATTGAGAGACTCCTCAACTCTACCTATCTATGAAGCTTTTATTAATTAAAGTAGACGTCAGGACAAAATCCACGACATATCAAGATAGCTAACTAGAAAATAAATGTGAAGTCCTCCGAAATGCGATGAGGCTCACCCAAGTTATCTGAAATGTAAAGTGATCTCAACTAAATACATGTTAATGATTTTAAACACTTGTATCTGCATCATACAAAAATGCATGTCCAATGACATCAGTACATAGAAGTATGTAATAACGATGAATCAGTAAATATAGATAAATTTAAGAAGGAAATGAGCTTGTAATTCCTTTCCTTATAGAAGTTGATGGAGGCAAATCAAACTGTATAAAAGGTTCAAGAAATTGAAGAAAGAAATCGTCTTTGCATAAACACAAATTGAGATAATTTTCCAACTAAGTCAATTCGATAGTTATTCCATATTCATAAAATATATCATCTTGAAAACAGTATTTATTGGAGAAAAAACACATATTCGTCTAGTTAGGTTATTTGGCATATACAACCAGAATAGTAAATGTTTATCCTAGGGCACATGCTTGTGTTATGATGGGATATTCATCCACTTAGAAGGGGTACATGTTGTATGATTTGGACATTAAAAGGTTCACAGTAAGTAGAGATGTCATCTTTAAGGAGCATATATTTCCTTTTAGAAAGTTGCAGGACAAGTACATACCAACTTTTGTCAATGAACCACTCAAGGATTATGATATTGATGCACTTATCAATGTTCATGATGATGAGGCATGACACAATCATGACCAACAACAAAGGTATGAAGTTAGTTTAGATAATAATGTAGACGAAGTTCAAGCAATTGATGTACATGATTCAGAAATAGTACCAGACCAAGAGGATGTTGCAGAATCCTCAACAAGTCTAGATGTTATGAACAAAGTAAAGCCTAGATTCTCTTCTAGGATATTTCACCCTCCAATATGGAAGAAAGAGTATGTGACTCAAGTGACTTATTCTGACCATCCTTATTCATTTACAAGTTGTGTTTCCTACAAATAGTTATCTCTTACTTATCAAGTTTAATTGAGCGAGCTGTCTAATGAAATTGAACCAAGAATTTGCAGCATTGGAGGATAATAGAACCTATACTGTTATGAAGCTGCCACCAGGGAAGAATGCAATAGGGTGTAAATGGGTTTCTAAGATTAAATACAAGGCAAATTGTGAGGTTGACAGATTCAAGGCTAGGCTTGAAGCAAAAGGATACAATCAGAGGAAATTGATTATCAGAAGACTTTTTTCCCAGTGGTTAAAATGATAACTGTGAGATTAGTTATTGCCATTGCAGCATCAAAAAATTGGATTGTGCACCAGATGGATGCGTTCAATGCATTCTTGAAGGGTGATTTGATTGAGGAAGTACACATGGAATTACCTAGGGGTTTTGCTCAACAGGACAAACATCAGGTTTGTAGACTAGTGAAGTCATTGTATGGATTAAAATAGGCCTCTAGACAATGAAATGCAAAGTTAACTGATGTCTTGTCTGAATCTGGTTACACACAAGTGATTTAGATTACTCAATGTTCAAAAAGAAGAAAAGATCAGAATTGGTTATTGTCCTTGTGTATGTAGATGACTTGTTAATTACAGTAAATGACTCCTTGTTAATACAAGAAACCAAGCAGGTGCTACATCATAACTCCAAAATCAAAGATTTAAGAGAATTGAAGTATTCTCTGGGACAAGAATTTTGTAGGTATGCATAAGGAATTGTGATGAACCATAGGAAGTGTACCCTTGAATTGGTGTATGAAGTTGGACTGACAGGTAGGGGTGTACATGACCAGGTTGGTCGAGTTTTTCAAATATCAAAGCAAACAATTTGGGTAAAAAAATTTAAATTTATAAATCACACCAGACTAGTAAAATTTGATTTTTTTGGGGTTTTCACCTCGAGTTGGTTCGGTTTCTTAAATACCAAATCAAATCATCGTGTCAAATTTTAAATTTATAAATCAAATAAAACTAATAAATTTCGGGTTTTTTCACATTTTTTGGTGTTTTGGGTAAAGTTTGCATACAAACATATAATTAACTTGTGCTCCAAATATTTCTTTAGTCCAACCAAAATACAATTATTTAAGGTATTTCATTAAAAATAATACAAAATATGGAATGATTATTGATACAACAAAAATATTCAATAAAAAATAACAATGAAATCATCATATAAAATGAATATTGTAAAGTCATTAAAATAATTATAATTGAAAAGTACTAAATCATGCTAAAATAAGTCTAATAAGTATTAGTTACATTACTAAATATTTAAGAAAAATTAAAATTAGATATGTATTTTAATTGTCTAAACCAATGTAAAACTAAAGAACAAATATTCAATATTATTGTCATTCTTAGTGTTGAATTGATTTTCTTTTTGCATTAGTATTAATTTGATTTTGATTTAAGTTTTTTTATAATTATCAACATCTATTAACTATAATCTTTATTGGACCATTTCGAATTCTATGTTTTAAACTTGAAATAATATATTAAAAGATAAAACTATGAAATAGTAGAAGAAATATTTTAAAAAGATATCGAGTAAATATTTTTATGTATGATAAATTTTAATACTACATATATAATGTAGGGTTGATATGGTCTCGGGTTGGTTTTTTCTAGTTGAAACCAACCCAACCCAAATATAGTCGGATTTTTTTTCCAATACCAAACCAAGTCAAACTGAACCACTAGTTGAGTTTTTTTCTGATTAGACTTGAGTTTGGTTCGATTTTCGTTTCGATTTTGTACATGCAAAGTTAACTGATGTCTTGTCTGAATCTAGTTATACACAAAATCATTTAGATTACTCAATGTTCACCAAGAAGAAAAGATCAACATTGGTTATTGTCCTTGTGTATGTAGCTGACTTATTAATTATAGGAAATGACTCTTTGTTAATACAAGAAACCAAACAGGTGTTACATCATCACTTCAAAATCAAAGATTTAAGAGAACTGAAGTATTTTCTGGGAATAGAATTTTCTAGGTTTGCACAAGGAATTGTGATGAACCAAAGGAAATATGCCCCTGAATTAGTGTCTGAAGCTGGACTGACAGGTGTTAAACCTTCATCCACACCTTTAGAAAGCAATATCAAACTAACATGTACAGTATTCAATTCTGAGGATTACCTATTTGGTGATGTAAACAGATATCAAAGACTCATTGGAAAATTGATTTATCTAACACTAGGCGTGATATAGTTTTTTCAATTCAATGCTTGAGTCAGTTTATGCAGAAGACCACATTATGCTATTGGAAGTAAAAGGGATTAGATGTATCAGAGCTGCACCAGGTCTGGAATTGCTCATGACCTCTAAGAAATAGACCACAATCACTGATTTTTGCGATGCAGTGGCAGTATGCCACAATAACAGCTGAAATAGTTTGGGTAACAAGATTGTTTAAGGAGTTGAGATTGAAAGTAGACAACCCTGTCATCATCCAGTGTGATAGCAAAGCAGTCATACAGATAGCAGTCAATCCATTCTTTCATGAAAGGACAAAGCATATCGAAATTGATTGTCATTTTATTCGGGAGAGAGTACAACAACGACTGATCAAAACTTGTTATATCAACACTAAGGATCAACATGCAACTTATTAATCAAAGCTCTGGAAAGATCTCAACATAACTTTCTGCTTGCCAAGCTTGGTGTCCTGAATATTTTCAGTACATCCAGCTTGAGGGGACTATTCAAAGTAGTTAGTTAGAACAGTTCAGGTAATTAGTTAGTTGTTTCACAAAGTTAGTTAGAACAGTTAGTTAAATATTGTTTAATTAATTGCAGAGTAGTTACAATTTAATTAGTTACAGATTAACATTCTTGTTATAAATAAGAGTCTTCTATTCATTGCATTCATATGTTTGAGTAATGAGAATCTGAAAGTTCTCAATTGCTCTCTCAATTTCAATAGAAAGTAGTTGAGGCCGAAGAAGGTCAGTATCCATCTCACTTCGTTTTTCTATTGTAATATATAATTTGTTTCGAGTATTTTTGTCATCCCTCTGTTCTAATGTTTAGTCTCTGTTTTTCCATTTGATTTTTATTCTATTAGGAATCACTTAAAGCTAACATGCAATGGATACATTTCTCAAAAAAACTTTATGACCAAATACATGCTAGGTACCTCAACTAACCCAGTTTCATATTGAATTCTTGAACCCCTAATAATTTGATCCTTTTAAATATTCTTGGCTGATGTGGAGTCAAATTTTAACAAATTATTTTTGGTAATTGGGTGCGTGAGATGAATCTTTCCCACATGGAAATTTCGTCCAATATACTTTAACCCAATTACACACCAGCGCCACATATTAAATCCTCAAATCTAAAAATCAATTTCCCCCCAAAGCACTTCTAACCCGAATCTAGACGAGAAAACCAAGAATCGCCCTCTTTCAATGACTTTTATCGCTTAAATTCTCAAATTTTAAAGTGATTTCGAGTGTTTTGTTGAAGGAATCATCGAAGATTGCAGACGATTCTGGAGTTCAATCACGATTTTCGAGTTGACGAGTGTAAGGTAAGTTCATTCCCTAATTTCTATGTAATTTTTATTGTTGTAGTGGTGGTGTGTTGTTAATATTTGTGTTTGGCCTGTGTTTTTTATTGATATATATTGAATTTTAGTATCAATGTGGTGGTTGTTGTTAATATTTGGATAAAGTTAGTTTTTTTTGTCTTTATTGTCCATAATGTGTCAGAAAATTTTGAGGCCTTGTATTAGGGAATCTTATGGACGCTAGTATTATAAATCTTTTTCATCATGGTGGTAAATTTATTCAGGAAAAAAATGAAATTACTTATAAAGGGAAAAAGGAGGTGGAATATGCTAATATCGACAAGGACCACTTCTAAATAATAGAATTACTTTTTTACACTAAACAATTGGGGTATATTACTGTAGGTGTGTTCAGTGTTGAAGACCTCACAAAAAATGAATTTATTGAGGTGGACACTGATTTATCTTTACTAAATCTAATCAAAGGCCTAAATGATGGTGACTTTTTAGACCTTTATGTGAAGCATGTGGTGGATGATGCAGAAGTGGTCACAACTGATTTGCTTTGTGGGTCTGCAGTTGAAAAAGACTTAGAAGATATAAATGTGATTATTGAATCATGAGGTTGAATCTGAAAATGTTAATGTTAAAGTTGAGTCAAGGGATATATCAAATCTAGAAGAGGAATGGACCAAATCAAATCAAGAAAGCAGTGATAACTCTCAAGAGGATATTATTCCTGATGTGGATGACTCTGAGGTTGATAAAGAATTGATATCTCTTAGAAATGAAAGGAGAAACAAAGTGAAAAAAAACCTACTCAAATTGAGGAAATAAAGCTTGGAACGACTGGTATTGATAGAGGTTTTGAAGACATTGGAAGGAATAAGACTGTTAGATACACTGGAAGACTAGGGGGTGAAGAGCAATATATAGATAGCTCTGAATTGGACAGTGAAGACAGTAGGGATGAATTGGATCCAGATTTGTGAAGGGTGTTGATTTACCAAGAAGAAGAAAAAGTAAAAAGGTAAGATTTGATCTTGATTGTGTTCTAGCTATTTTTGAGCTTGGTATGATATTTAAAGCTGTTGCAGACTATTCTTATGAATATAAAACTAGGTTAAAGTTGAAACTTAATGAGAAGAAAAGGGGTTAGCTTTAAATGTGAGGAGATGAAATGTAAATGGTTGTTGTTTGCTACCATATAGGATTCTAGTGATTTTATTGTCAAAAATTATTATCTTGTGCATGTGTGTCCTCAATCAACCAAGAACAAATTGTGTACATCTAAGTTTGTTGCAGAAAAGTTCAAGGATGAAATTACATGTCAACCATATATAAGATTATGAGAAATTCATAAATTGGTGAGAAAAAAATTTGGGTTGTATGTTGGAAAAATTGTTTGTCATAAGGCAAAAAAGAGGATTATCAAGGACTTCTTAGGTGATTAGAAGATGAAATTTTCAAGATTGTGTGATTATGCAGACATGATTAAACATTCTAATCCTGGTACTTCCTGTTGGGTGAGGACAGATAGAGAGTCTCATTCAGGAAAAATTTTGTTTGTTTACTTCTATGTTTGCTTTTATTGAAGAGGGGTTGGTTGGAAGGATGCAGACAAATTATTGATTTTGATGGATGCTTTCTAAAGGGTTCTTGCAAGGGAGAATTGTTTGGTTGTTGTTGATAGAAATGGAAATCAACAGATGTTTCCAATCGCATGAGCTGTTGTTGACACAGAGACAAAACACAGTTGGAGTTTTTTTCTCAATTACTTGATAGAAGATCTGAACTTAGACACAAGACATGGACTGACTGTTATGTCAGATATGTAGAAGGTTTTGTATTATATCTTGATCTTTTATTTTTATTTTCTTGTGTTGCTGGTCTTTTTAATGTTTGTGCTACAATTGTTTACATAAGGCCTTATACCAGTTTTATGTGAGTTGCTACCATATAGTGAGCAGAGAAGGTGTGCTAGACATATCTGGTTCAACTGGCATCAATTATGGAGTGGTGAAGAAAAAAGGAAACAGTTCTGAAGATGTGCTAAGTTAAGTTTTGAAGTAAAATTTTAAGTTAAAACTTTAATATATTTACTTCAAAAAGGGACAGAAGTTGAATGAGGTAATAATATATTTTTTTTATTTGAACATTATTTTCTTTTTCATTTTTCTCTTTTTCTCTCATCTTAATTCTTCTTCCCCAATTTAATCCTCTTAAATCTCCTTACCCATTGGGAGATTCCTTTCATCTTGCTTGCCATCGCGGGTCAATATCCACTGAAGCCATTATTATTTTTTATTATTCAATAAAATCTAACTCTCATCATTTCTAAATTCATAATATCATCATATTCAAAGCTCTATACTAGTCATGGATTCCATTAAAATGGAGCTTTAGAGTTTTTTTAACAAAAAATAAATAAATAAAAATTAATTTTATATTAAAAAAAAGTAGAAAGAAAAATCGCATATCAAAAAAGGTTATTGTTTGACTATTTACAATGTGAAATGTATCAATTGCACAAACATAAAAAGAGAAGAAAAACATAAACATAATTCGTCACACACGCGTGTTTATATGATATATTTAATATGAATGTAAATAATATTGTGGGGTAATAAAATTCCCATAAAATTTCAAATTTTAGATATTTGCTGCTTTCTAAAAAAGATATAAATTCGACAGAATAATTATATATTTCTCAAAGTTCAAAAACATATGCTATACAAATTTAGAGTGACATGTGGCATTTATAAGTTGCTTGGGGAGCTTTATGAATACCCCTTCACGGATCCATATTTTATGATAACATGAATATAGTGAAAATAATTTAAAAAGTGTATTCCCTTAGTCCAATATTATAATTTATAAGTCACTTTTTTATTTGTATTTATATTTAAAAAATCAGGTAATTTTAGACCTATATTTTTATTTAATCAGTTATAGATTTTTAAAGTTAGTCAAAATAAATATATTTTTAAGATTAATTAATTAATTAATAAAAATATAATAGATAAAATATAATATTTTATACATAAATTTTATAAAATAATATATATTGTGGTTAAACTATTTTTAGAAATAGGGGACTTATAAAGATGAGATAAAAATAGCACTCCCTCCGTTTTAAAAAGAATGTTCATATTATCTTTTTAGTTTGTTTTAAAAAGAATAACATTTTTCTTTTTTTATAACACTTCAACTTTAAATTTTCATATAACATAATTAAGACCACAAGATTAAGACATCTGATACATTTGACATGATTTTGATTTAAATTTTAGAATCATAAAGTCAAAAAAATTTCTTTCTTTTTTTTAAATTTCTTTCCAAGTTAAATTAAATCATCTTTTTTAAAACGTAAAATATATTTGTTATGCATTTAAATTGTTCCGTGCCGTAATAAAACTCTTGCAAATTTACAGTATCTACTTCACGAAAAAATATAAAATTCAACGAGGTAATTATACAATTTTTACTTTTCATATGATTCAAATGATAAATTATTTACTTTTTTCACACTTGTCAAATTGGAAAGTTTAATGATCCCACAACATTCAATGCATATAAATAAATATATACAAGGTAATTAGTAATCCAATTGAAAAGAGTTGATTTTCTTTACAAAATCTTGATAGAGTCCACGTGACAAAATAGAAATAACATTTTTTTCCTACAAGCTAATATTAGTATTAACACTCACAATTTTGAAAGTAGGGTTAACTGAATTATTTAAATGATTCAAAGGGTTATTCACAAAGTTTTAGTGAATCTTTCATAAAATGATCATACTTGAAAGGAATTTATACGTATTTTTTGGTTTTAAAAACGATAAGGGTTATGTGATAGTATATATATGAAACATAATTCAGTGGTATATAATATATTTTCTTTTATTTATAAAATCTTTCCCGTATAATATTGTACATTAATAAAATATTTCATTTTGATAAAAATTAAATAAACGGTTAATATTAATTAAAAAATAAATATTAAAAATTATTATATTTTTTAAAAAAATAAAATAATTTTTCTCACCGACTCCACCATCCACCACCCCCCTCCCAATTTAAAAAAAAAACAAAAACAATCCCCTCCGTTCTTTTATTTTTAAATTCTTTTATAAAATATTTAAAAGTTCAGACCTCACCGGCTCACCCCATTGTCTAAAGAAATTGATATTTTTTTTTTTATAAAATATAAAATAAAATTTTACGCACCCCTTCTATCTCACCGCTTCTAATTTATTTATTTATTTATTTTAAATTTTTTTCTCATTTTATGAGATGTGTACATATATTTATAAAAAAAAAATATTATTTTTCTTACGTATCGAATTTAGAGAACAAAAATTTATTTTAAAAATGTTTTGCCCAAGAATAAAACTATTTTTTGATTCAAAAGTAAAAGAAAAATTTGATGGTTATATGGGTGAAGTAAAATTATCTTTTTCTTAAAAAATTAAAGTAATATCTAAATTATTATTTGAAGGGATTAGGAAGGGAGATGAAGTAAGATTTTTTAAAAAAACTTTTATAAAAAATATATTTTAAAAAAAAAAAACTAAAAGTTTGGAACGTGGAAGAAAGATGAGAGGCAGGTGTAGTAGGGTAAGAAAGATATTTTACATTTTATTTTAGGAAATAGTGATACTTTAATTTTAAATTTTAATTAATACTAATAATTTATTTAATTTTTGTTAAAATGAAATATTTGTTTATGTGAAGTGTGATGTAATAATTTTTTTTAAAAAAAGAAAAAATGTATTACAAATGTCATGATAAGAATGTAATAAAAAATTTGGAATGTGGAAGAACGATGAGAGGAAGCTGTAGTGGAGTAAGAAAAATATTTTTCATTTTATTTTAGGAAATAGTGATACTTTAATTTTTAACTTTAATTAATACTAATAATTTATTTAATTTTTGTTAAAGTGAAATGTTTATCTATGTGATGTAATAGTTTTCTAAATAAAAAAATGTATTATAAACGTCATAATAAGAATATAATAAAAAATAAATATGAATTTTTTAAACTAATAAATGATAGCTTAGACATAAAACGTACATTTAAAAAAAAAGGATACTTCTTATGAATAAATTTAATGTGACAATTACGGTCAATTTAGTTTAGTAGATAGAAATGACTTTTCAGACACTCTGGCTTATCAATCAGAAGAATTTCATCCGATAATGTTTTTTCTTTTTCTTTTTTTCGAAATAGGACAAAAGTTGCATAAACTAAGTAATACAATTTGAAATACTCTTGTTGAAATCTTTAATTTAATCAACTAAATACAGTCTTTCTTTTATATTATTTGTGGAGTATATGATATTTATTTATTTTTAATTATACATGTATTTTGTTAAATTAATTTTGTTAATATAATATTTTAAAAATGATTATTATTATCAATTTATATAATTATTAGATATTATGAATATTGAGCAAAAAAAATTTAACTTAATTAAAAAAATTAATGAATAAAATATTTGTTTTTATTATAAAAATAATTAAAATGAAATGAAAGGGGACAAGAAAATATATGTATTTATCATTAAAATTCGTTAAATATGTACCTAACAAATTACAACGTTTAAATTAAGGTCATTTGTTGTAGTTTTAATTTGCTTGGAAATATAGGGACAAAATGTGGATGTCTACAAGTCTAAAATTGCTTTTACATATGGTAAATAAGGACTAATTTTGAAAGTAAAAGAAATAAGTGAAAGATGATGGTATAAAATGATAAATTAATAATAAAAATTAAATATAGTAGTTATTCTTTTATTTATTTGTACTTTATAATAAATTGTTTTTCAGTTCCTTTCTCTCTCATATTTTTGCCCGTCACTCTTCCTCTCTTGCTCGCTTATTCCTGTCGCTCGTCTCTCTCGATTTATACAATAGAATTGTATAAATTGTGTTTCTAATTATATAAAGCGAGAGAAAATTGTATAAATGCATGCAAATATATATATCTTTGTCCTATACACTTATAATTATACAATACGTATATTTTTCTGCCTAAATCTTTTTTGCCTTTCTCGTTTTATATTAAATTGTATATAATTTCTCTTTTTCTCGTTATACAATTCGATTCAATTGTATATTCCCTCCACAAGTCTCTTTTTGCCTTTCTCTCTTTCTCGTTTTATACAAATTTAAATTATATATAATTTCTCTCTTTCTCATTTTATACAATTCAATTCTGTCTTTCTCGCTTTTTCGTTTTATACAATTCAAATTGTATATAATTTCTCTCTTTCTCGTTTTATACAATTCGTTTTTTATAATTCGCTTCAATTGTATATGTATAGCGAAATATAAATACATTACCTCCTCTGTTTCAAAAAGGATGGTCTAGTTTGACTTGAAACGGAGTTTAAGAAAATAAAAAAAGACTTTTTAATCTTATGGTTCTAAATTAAAGTTAGTTCAAATGTATCAAAATTTCCTTTAATCTTATGTTTTTAAACATGACACGTGGAAAATTAAAGTTACAGTGTTGTCAAAATAGGAAAGGGGTCATTCTTTTTAAAACAAACTATAAAGAAAATAGAGATATTCTTTTTGAAACGAAAAAAGTAATTTGCTATGAGATGCAATTATGCAAACTTTGCTCTAACATACAAACATGAATTTTATATTTGTTATATGGGAAAATTGAACAATAATTATATAAAATATTAAAATACTATAAATAAATATAATAGCTATCCTTTAATTTACAATACCACCTAAAAAATTTTACATGTGTAATAATATTTACCAAGTATTATTTTGCATTACATCTTATGTGATGATTTGTGAGTTATTGCACCGAACAGATTTTCACCATAGAGTGAACATTTAAAGACAAAAATTATATCAATTTTTTTGAATTTTCGAGAAACCGTCCACATTTAAATTCACCAACTTCAAATTTTTATTTTCACTAAATTTTCTAAAATATTATATTTGAGCAGTAGTAGACTAACAACCTTCTGCCCAACTACTACAAGATATATATTATGTTCAAAAACTATTACATCACTCCCAATACACGTACAATATCTTCAAAATTTTTGTTCATAACTTTCTCTAACAAAAAAAAAAATAAACAGAATTAGAGGAAAATGGAAGCATCAATTCTACAGCTACTTCTTCTACTATCACTTACATCCTGCACAATTCTCTTTTACAAAATCAGAGGCCGATGGCGTCGTCGGCCTCCGTCTCCACCATCTCTCCCTATAATCGGTCACCTCCATCTCCTCAACCAAATGCCTCATCACACCTTCTTCAATCTATCTCAAAAACTCGGAAAAATTATCTATCTTCAACTCGGCCAAATTCCGACTCTAATCATCTCATCTCCTCGTCTAGCTGAACTCATCCTCAAAACGAACGATCATATCTTCTGTAGCCGTCCACAAATCATTGCAGCTCAGTACCTCTCCTTCGGTTGCTCCGATATCACTTTTTCACCGTACGGTCCTTACTGGCGTCAAGCTAGAAAAATCTGCGTAACGGAATTACTCAGTTCCAAACGAGTTCACTCGTTTGAATTCATACGAGATGAGGAAATTAACCGTATGATAGAATTGATTTCGTCTCGTTCTCAATCTGAAGTAGATCTGAGTCAGGTTTTCTTCGGTCTAGCGAATGATATTTTGTGTAGAGTAGCGTTTGGGACGAGATTTATTGATGATAAATTGAAAGATAAGGATTTAGTGAGTGTACTGACGGAGACACAGGCGTTGTTAGCTGGGTTTTGTTTTGGGGATTTTTTTCCAGATTTTGAATGGGTGAATTGGTTGAGTGGGATGAAGAAGAGATTGATGAATAATTTGAAAGATTTGAGAGAAGTTTGTGATGAGATTATAAAAGAGCATTTGATGAAAACCAGAGAGGATGGTTCAGAAGATTTTGTTCATGTATTGTTGAAGGTTCAGAAAAGAGATGATCTACAAGTGCCTATTACTGATGACAACCTCAAAGCTCTTATCCTGGTATTTATTCAAATTCAATTTCGGTAGAATAACCATAATTTGTTCAATTTCAATTTATATATACTTGGATAATAAATTATTATAACTTGGACAATTGAGAAAAAAATTTCAATTGTATCCTACTAATATATTGCACATGTATATAGTACACAATACTCTTTTGTTTTAATCAATCGATCACAATGTTAATACATTTCAATCAAAATAAAATAGTCAAAGTTTCAACTTATAAACATTTAGTTTATATTCATACTAGACCATATCTTTTCGAAGAAGTGGGTTCATATGCAACAAGGTAGGACCGCCCATGTACTAGACTGCACATTTGTTAGTATTTTAATGATATATAATAAATATTATTTATGTAGCTATGTTATTTCTAAATATCAAATATCATATAGAAATTAAAATGTATACCATAATGGCAACCACGGTATTAAAAATTTCAATATGGTATGGTGTTTTGATATATCATGTTCACCTCTACTTCTATTCCTGAGCCTAGAGGCAAAAGTCAGAATTTTAATCTTAAGGGTTCTGAATTTTAAAATAACAATTTGAAGTGTCGGTAATTGAATTCTAAACTTTATATTTGTACGTATTGAATAAACATACTAATACCAATACAAAAATTACTGATTCGATCGAATTGATACCCGAACTTCTAGTTCCACCTCTGCTGCTGACACAATTATACTTGGCACTACAGGATATGTTTGTGGCTGGAACAGATACATCAGCAGCTACACTAGAATGGACAATGACTGAGTTGGCTAGGCATCCAAGTGTTATGAAAAAGGCACAAAATGAAGTAAGAAAGATTGTAGCTAATAGAGGAAAGGTAGAAGAATTTGATCTTCAACATCTTCACTATATGAAAGCAGTAATAAAGGAGACTATGCGATTGCATCCCCCTGTCCCTCTTCTCGTACCTCGTGAATCCATCGAAAAATGTAGTATCGATGGCTATGAAGTACCTGCGAAAACTAGAGTGTTGATCAACACTTATGCAATCGGAAGAGATCCTGAGTATTGGAACAACCCTCTTGACTACAACCCCGAAAGGTTTATGGAGAAGGATATCGATTTGAGGGGACAAGATTTTAGGTTTTTACCGTTTGGAGGAGGGAGAAGAGGTTGTCCAGGTTATGCTCTTGGATTAGCTACAATTGAGTTATCGTTGGCTCGTTTGTTGTATCGCTTTGATTGGAAATTGCCTAGTGGAGTTGAAGCTCAGGATATGGACTTGTCTGAGATATTTGGATTGGCTACTAGAAAAAAAGTGGCTCTAAAGCTTGTTCCAACCATCAACAAGTTGTAACCTACTTTCTAATTAAATTTATTTGATGTTCAATGTTGATTGTAGCCATGGGAAGGTTAACAATATGGTAGCATAAAGTCAAGGCCTAAAATATTTTCAATAAGATTCAGTTTTATGAACAGGGGTATGAACTATTCGAATTAAACTGAATAATCAAATCAAATTCAATTCTAATTTAAATGGTTGTATTTTTTTGTTTAGTTTGGTTTTTGATTTAATTTACACCTCTTAAGAAAAAATTCTACAAAATTAAATCGAAAAACCAAAAACAATTAGAGTTTGAGAAAACGTAGGAAGGAATGTGAAACTCCAATTATTTAATACCCTTCATTATTTAGCAGAACAGATGACAGAGTAGTCATCATGCAAAAAAGTTCAAAAAAATAAATAAAATAATATAAGTTTAATAGTGATGTCCAAAATATTCCCCGTGAAATAAAATTATTTGTAAGTTGTAACACCTTCATCTCACATAAAGGTGTCAAAATGGGTTGGCGCAATTTAATTCAGTCCGATCCTAATGGGTTAGAGAGTTAAATGAGTTGGGACGGACTGATCCTTTTAAATAACAAGTCAATAAAATAGCGGGCTACGGATTGAGACGGGTCGACCTTTCAATCAAAAATGAACAATATTACTCTCTTAAAAAGAGTATCGAATGTTGACGTCTATGAACACGACATCAATTCATACAAAAATTCATTTATCAATCACACACTTTAGTGAATACTTACAAAAATACATTTATGAATCACACACTTAAATGCATACATACAAAAATATAGAATAGCCAACGTAAGATTTAGCAGATAATGTTGATCATTCCATCATTTCTTCCACAAAAGACTAATTGGTTTAAGAGATCTCGAGCAACACAAGACAGTCTAAATATTTAATAAATCTAAATTCTAAATATTACATGACTAATTAATTAATGTTTTACAACTCCGCTTCTACTTTCACCATCGATCAAATTCGAATCAACATGAGATATTATTTCCTTAAGAAGTTCATCTCATTTACAATTCACCATGTAAGATGATATTGCAAAATACTTTATTTTTTATTTTTCAAAATATTTATTCATAAAATCTTTACAAATAAAACACTATTAAAAATATATATCAAAATATTTTAAAAAATTAATAGCCCAGGACTGACCTCAGAGGCTTGCGGGTTGGCCTACGAGGCCAACAGACTAAATAAAGCGGACTAAAAAGCCTCATTTATAAATGGGTCAAAAATATTAAGCCCAACCCAACTTATTTCAAGGGTTGGATTATCAACCTCACGAGCAAAGCCCAGTTTGACGGCTCTAACTCACGGATCTCGTATAGCATCAGTTTTGTTGCATCTATCATACAATAACAATTGAAGAGAAAAAAAATTAAAATGGCAGAGGCACAACCAATGTGGCTCCAGCAGCTCTTATTAAGAATTGATTAAAATACTTAATAAAAAATATATTGTAAGTGAATATGAATCCTGCCTACTTTTTTCAAGCATCGATCGCACCAGCCTTGTACAGCCCAGTTGTCATTTTTATTTTGACATCTAAAAAGTAGTAAATTATATTAATTAAAATTAATCTTATCTAATTAGTTTATATGCTAAAGACTTGGAGAATAAATTTGTGTTTTGAATTAATTTGATTCTGTTAAGGAACATTGAACAATAAGCTTATTTTTAAAGAGCAGTTCTAAAAATGTTTCCATTATTTAACTGAAAATGTGTGCATCTATATTGTTGATTTCAACGGTTAGAGTGTAACTATGACTATCAAAAATTTAAAACTTGGTTTCCACATGTTTTTTCAGACTAAATGATGATTTTTGTTCTACTTATGGACCTTTCAAAAATTTGATACAAAAAGTAGGGAGAATAACATTACATTAGCAGCAGCTCAACCACATTACACATTTCTGGTCTTTTTTGTTTCTTCTCCTAGAGAGTATTATCCATCATGATGAGAAATAGCATATTCTTGCCAGCTTCTATAACTTTACAGGATGGGGCAGAAAAAATCACCCTGCTATTAAAAGTGAAACAAAGCTCTAATATGTATCAGCTCTCTTGTCAAGAAAAGCTTGCATTGATGGTTCCCTCCCAAGAAAATCTGACAACATTTCAAGGGGGTCTTTTCCTCTTCCTGGAGCCAACACCTATCACAAAGCGAAAATATATTATTTTTTCAAACTGGGAGTTTTTTCATGTCATTACTTCAGTTAATGCATGAGCAATATAGCAACGAGCTTAGGATGAGATCTTCCAGACAGTTTCTAGAAACTGCACGAACTTTAGGAAGGAACATGAAGACTTCCTGAACTCGAGTCTCGTCATGAAACGAACAAACCTTAAATAATAAGTGAAACTAAATACTCATAGCCAGAAAGGCCCTAATATTTCAAGGAGGAGGGGCTTATACTGCAATCGTAATAAGAGAATGGGGGAATTGCATGTAGACAAGGTTCTCTAGTGTTCAGTAAAATTTTAAGTTTCACCTTTTCTGGCCTTCGGAGGTGGTGTCAAATTGATAGAAACACAGCTGAATGTGGATGAGACAGCAGTCCTAGTGGCTTAGGGGGAATCAGTTGGCTAGATTTGAAATTTTGAAAAACATCTGAGGTACATGTCAATGGTAATCTAGATTTTGTAACTATTGCAGCAACGGACATACCAGGCTATGTTACTTCAAAATCGGATGTCCACGAAGGACAACTTGTGTCTCCAATAATCACAAAAAGAAGAGGAAAATTACATCTCTTATTGCAGAAGCTAGTTTGGTCTTTAAACATGCAGAAGAACAAGCGAGCTATCAATGTTAGGTTATTTGCTAGGATCACTCAATACTAATCACTCAGGTTTTACGAATACTAACCCGTCCTTGCAAATCAGACATCAATGTGCTAAGTGGATTACCGTAAGTTACTGACAAGGCAGCCGAATATTGTCAATCTAAACATGAAATCCAAGTAAAGTAAATGGAGAGTAATCTCAGGGATGTATTTGCTACCGTATTCCTAAACTGCAAGCCTGTTTGCAGGTTGAAAATATCATCATGAAACTTCGAGGCAAATATATCAGCAGCAAAGACCTAGGAAGAAATTGATAAATATATCAAAACCACAAACCATATATCAAATAGAACATATATATTCCAAAAACTTCTGAAATTCTGGAAAATTGATGAGAAAGCATGACATGAGGAAGCTTGTGAGGCATTTAGCAAATTTGACTCTCTATCCATGTCATTTTGTATGGCCATGTTTGGTAGGGCATGAGTTTAATTTAGCAAAGAAAGAAAGACTTTTAGCACATATAAAAAATGTATCGGGAACTCGTGATCTTAAACATGTCATGATATTTCTATGGTCATAAGAGCATGTCATGAATGGTAAATAGAAAGTTCAAAGTTAGGAATTTTGAAGTATATAAAGGTGTCATCCCTTTTGGAACAAGCAAAAACGAAAAGAGTGTCATATAAAAGAAATAGAGGGAGTAAATGGAGGAGAAGAAAAAATGTACAAAAGCTGTTAGGCTTTAGGAACACATCCATGAATGACAAATTTGTTAAGTAAACATATACAAACAAGGATGAGCAGGACACCTCACTCCAGATGTGACTGTAGCAAGTGGCCTCATAGCCAATAGCAGTTCGTGGAAAACATGAAGCTGGGTTTATTCCTCTTAGAAGCGGTAATCCTACCATAACCTGAAGAAATGAAGAAGAGTTAAGCACACAAATATTGGTTTTCCACTAAACAAGAGTGACAAATCATACCTTCGGATAGAGATGCTTGAACAGCCCATTAATATCAACATTCTCAGTTGAATGAATAATTTGATCGAATAGACCTGAAAAGATGTATATAAACTTCTGTTAAGTGACTCTGAAATGTAAAGCAACAAATTCTTGTTTGTGCTTTTCTCTACTTCATTAACCATCTTTCAACTGTCCAAAACATTTGTTTAATATATTCCCAGCTAATATAGTTGAAGGATTTAAGCATGATAAACAGTCATTGTTCCAACATCTTCCTTCTGAGCGGTGAGTGCAGTGCCCACCCCTCCCCCTCCGTATACAACAAAAACATACCCAGTGTAGCCCCCACAAAGTGGTCTTTGGGGAGGGTGAAGTGTACGTAATTTTTATCCCCTACCTCAGAGGTAGAGAGGCTGTTTCGGATAGAACCCAAGCTTAACGAAAAATTGTCCAAAGCAGTCCCAAAAAGGAGCAACAGAAGTACAAGAAACAACAGATAATAATGAAAACAACCGATAGCAACAGAACAACAACTACAACAAAATGATACGATAATACAAGAAACAACTTGTAGTAACGAAAATCAAAGGCCAAGAAACTACAAGAGCACCACTACAACTACTAATATGAATAGAAGACAAGAGAACACACTGCTACCTACTAACTTTCTACCCTAATTGTGTCCTCCACACCTGCTTACCTACTAACTTTCTACCCTAATTGTGTCGTCCACACTCTCTTACCTGAAGTCATGTCCTCAAAATGAACTGAAACTGTGTCATGTCATATCTAATAACATCTCCCTAATACTTCTTCAGTCTACCTCTGTTCTCTTGAAACCATCCGTAGCCAACCTCCCACATCTCTGCACTGAGGCATCCATGCATCTCCTATCCACATGCTTGAGCCTTCTCAACCTTGCTTCCCGCATCTTGTCCTCCACCAAAATCACTCCTACCTCGTTTCAGATATCCTCATTCTAAATCCTATCTCTCCAAGTATGCCCCCACATCCATCGCAACATTCTTATTTCCGCGACATTCATCTTCTGAACATGAGAGTTCTTAACTGGCCAACACTCCGCCCATACAACAAAAATCTCATTGTCTAATTTATTTTTAATTCTTTTGTCCATTTTTTATGTTATTCATGATTATTATATTTGATTTCAATGAGATTTTAGGACGATATTAACCTGGTTTCTTAACCTTAGCAATATGGGTATCGATGGAACCGTCTAGATGTGTATCTTCCCTTTTTATAGTTGGGGATCTTTTCGACACTGTTGATAGAAGAAAAGCATCAGTAGAGTGATTCGAGTGAAGCGTGGGCCTTCGAGGTAGGTTTGGCTTATCCTTCCTCTAGACTGGGTTGGGTAGTTAACCATTCTTATGAACTGGGCTAAGGGTAGCATGAGATTGAAGTATTGGAAATTGTAGATTACATTTTTGTTTTTTTTCAGAAAAAATGAATTGTGGATTACATTGTTTCTCTCGTATGGGGGCTTATTTGTATTAATTCGCCTATGTGGAGGCCAAATAATTTAGCCCGTGTGTTCGAAAAGGGTAAAATCAGATTTTTAGTTGAAAAACAAATTCCTCAAGTAAAAAGAAGTTTGTGGTTGAAAACCCCAAAAAAAGTGAGTAGGAATTGGGCCTAAAATCAAAGAAATAATAATTTTTCAATTTATGGGGAAAGCCTTCATTTGAAATCTTGATTTTTAAGTGTTTTGAAGATGAAATTCGAAGAAAATGACAGAGAACCGATAAAGGGACTTACCTACACAAGTTTCCTCAAGAAATTTCTCAAAAGTCTCTTCTCCCAAGCTCCCAATCGAGCGAAAATGGAGGAAAATGAGAAAAAAAAGGAAGAATCCCGAAACAGGGTTGTTCCAGCCCTAAAAACGGGTCTGTTGACCACGGTCAGCACCAGAAAATACATTTTCTATCTTATTAAAGTCTTTGAACAGGCCCTCAAGATTCGTTTGGGACCCGATAAAAATAAACCAGACATGCTACCCCACCAAATTCGTTATTCCGAACTCAATGAATCATCAGATTTTCAAAAAAAGATTGTTATGGAAGAAATACACTCTTGGACCTCTCTTAGGCCAAAAACTCAACTTCTCGTATCCCAAATCTCAACCTAAGGTCTTGGAACTCTAACCAACCACCCTACTTGACCAAACTCAACATTTTGGATGCAAAGCAATTGACAGAATTACCATCTGACGCGCGGATCTCGTAATGTTGACCAAAGTCAACTATTTCAGTATAACACCGCTCGAAAGACTTAAATCCATCAAACTCTCACCCAATTGTATCGGGGATCATGCTAACCATTCTTGCAACACATAAAAAGTATGATGATACTAAGGGGAAGGGAAAATGGTAATTTCACACATAAAGGTAATTTCTCATGAAATGGGACATTACAGTTATTTATAATTGCCATCGCAAAGGAACTAAGTTGTAGTAGCGAGCTTTTCCCTAATTATTGTGTTTTTCAAGATCTTCAAACAAAGAAGTGGATTCATAGTGGTAAATTGCATGATGGCTTATATATGTTTGATGGAACTCTAGACTCTGGAGTCTGGTCAAAGCATATTTTTGGAGGAAATACGGATGTCAACCAAGAAATAATCTTAGTGGCATGGTGGTTGGGGCACCCATCCCTTTCTGTTTTACCGACATTGTATCCTAGTTTGTTTTAAAGAACTGAGTTGAATCTTTATTTTGTGATGCTTGTGAATATGCCAAGCATACTAGAAACTCTTGCCCTTTGAGTGATGATAAAAGTACTACTCCTTTTAAGATTATCCATTATGATGTGGGAACCCCACTCAAACTGTTTCTATGTCTGGAATCAAAGGTTTGTTACCTTTATTGATTGTCACTCTAGGATGTCATGGGTGTATCTATTGAAGGCCAAAAGTGAGGTTTTCTATTGCTTTCAGTCATTCATAAGATGACTTGTACTCAATTTGAGGCTAAAATAAAAATCTGACAGTGACATATAAATACGACAAAAGATTTGGTGTTTATCAAAGTTCAATGGATAATCTCAAACTATAAGTCCCTACATTAGTACAGAAATTGGATTGCTGAAAGGAAAATTAGGCATTTTTAAGAAGTGGCAAGATCTCTTATGTTTACCATGAATCGACCAAAAACCTACTGGGAGGATGTCATTCTAGTTGCTGCCTATCTTTTCAATAGAATGCCACTTCAAATCCTCAATTTTCAGTCGTCTAAACTCCAGGGGTTTTAAAGAGTGAGAATAGATATACTCATATACTGTTCATCTGAAGGTGTTTGCGTCTCTGCTTTCTTCACACTAAGAATTTCTAGGAAACTTGATCCTAGAGTGTGCCTCAATTGGGTATTCTCCTATACAGAAAGGGTACAGGTTCTGATATCATAAGGTGATGGGCTAAGGTTCAGAAGCAGGACAAATCTAGACTGGAGCAAGTAGAGATGACATATGGGTGTTTGTGATTCTTTTTGTAGATAACATGAGATCATTTCTGATTATTTAACATGTAACATTGTACATCCCAAGAATATATCATAGAAAAAGTGGAAAGGAGTAAGCATGTCACTGAAATAGTGGCAAATTAATATGGCATGCATGACAAGCGCAAGTTCTGAATACATGCAGCAGCAATTGTATTTGACAAAATTCTTATATTTCCTAGAATATATCGTTATACATGCTTGAGTTGAAGAATACCAAATTACCAATTTTACCATCTAAAAGGGACCCAAAGAACAGAATAACTTAGCCTTTCATGGATTAGAAGAAGAACAAGTAAATTGCTAAGTTTTAGCAAGTTAATAGAAAGGCTTACAATAAAAGATTTCCTGTTTCAATTTCAGTGCTGAGAAGGAGCAGCGCCATCTCTTAAGTGATTTACAAAGATCATCCTTAATGGGCTTTGTGATATCCTACAAAAGGCATATACTGAGATAGAGGATTAACATAATCGAACGATCTGATATAAAATTAATTACCAAACTTGTTTGCAGTAACTTTCACTCAAGCATGGTTTTTGAATAGAAACCAGTGTGTCAAACTTGGAGTCTATGGTTCAACTAGCATGAAGGTTAAAATAAGCAAGTAAAAAAGCAAATGTACAAGGCCTTTTTCTTTGGTTTCTTCCTCAAAGTGACTGTTTATTATTTTCATTGTTTTAATGGAACTACTTCTCAAAAATCAAAAGAACATTTTTTGCAGCAGCAATCGTGGATGGAAGAGCAAGGGAAAAAAGAACAGTAGCAAGTCTGAGTATCTGAAATATTTCAAGTGTCTCATCTTACTGAAAACAGTCGAGAATGGAAAGAAAGTACAGTGGAAGTACCTGATGAAAGCCTGAGATCAGTCTCAAGGAGAGGTTTTCGTAGCACCTGGCACGAGTATTTCAAACTTATAAGACCATAAGCTAACAATACAGAAGCTCAGTATAAAGGGGAAACTATTTAAAACACACCAATTCTCCATCAAAAGGGCAGGGATCTCCACAAAATCAGGATCCAGACGCAGCCCTGATAATTTGGAAAATGATGCACAGTTGCAAATGTGATGTACCTGAAGTAAATAGATGAGTAAGAATAAGCGTAGCTGTTCCAAATATTAACCCAGAAGTGTGCATGAAATTTATATAGAGAAGTACAAGTAAAAGTTTATCAACATGAGTATCACAGCTAAATTACAAGTATTGACAAATTGGTGTCCCACCAATTTTAGGCTAAACATCAGAGCATAAGTACACATTTAAGAGGAGCATCTACAGGAGCACAATATTAGAGGAGCGAAGCCAGACTAATTACTGAACTAGTACAACATAGATAAGGTTTTACCTGCTTAATACCTTATAGTCATAAGCAGAGGATGTTCAAAAATCAGAACTTACCATAAGATAGTAGATATTTATTCCAGAAGACAACTTAACTTCATTTTTGTTTATCATTCAACTATGATTTTACAATTTTATAAAAAAAAATCAATTGGAGGACGACATATGAGATTAGTTAATATCATCAAGTCCACCAAACAACTGATTCATTTTAGTTCTCCTTTTATCAATCGCCATATTTTATTTTTATTTCTGCTAATAGGTAACAACAAAGAATCTAATAATATTAACGAACTAAAATTTTCAGATGTTTTACTTAGTGATGGCTAAAAGGATATTAGACCTAAGTAATCAAAAATCTAGTCTGCTTATTTGGCCTATTGTTTCTTAATGATTAAACACTCGCTAGTATTGATTTTATAGGGAAAATCCTATATTTGGGATGTCATCTTAAGCGTCGTCGCTAAGAATGAAGAGGTCCGGAGTATGGAGGATCAAAACCTTCTAAGTTTCAGTCTTCATTCAGATATCAGTTCCATAATATTTTTAAAATAGGATATACACGATTAGAAACTAGATAAAATCTATAAATTACCATCTTTTGTAATTACAAATCATTTTAGAATATATGAAGAAACTAGATGCAAAGCCCCATGCCAGCACAGGCGCAACAAATCACACTAAAAGTGGCCCTATTTATTTTTTTCGGCCCCAATTTATGTGATACATTTTCTTTTTTAATCAGTCCCAGGAAAACGACACATTTGAGAAGAGATTTTATTGATGTCGCCCGCGGGACCAAACTATCTGTGGAAAAGCATTTGTAAAGTACCTTTAAAGTATAGACATTGAAATTCCAAAAAACTCTCGGCATGAAGCAGGCAAGGGTGACTAGCATATTAGTGGCCTAAAGCCAAAATCAAACAGAGGCCTTAAACTTTATGAAATGTCAATAACTTTTATATAATTGATTTCTTCTAATATCTTTTTTCAATTGATAATTTAATCGATCTATATTATCTTTCTTGAGATATAGTAGTCAAAATATGTCAAACTTCTAATAATTCTTTCATTTTATATGAAATTTACTTTTACTATAAATAATACTTCATACTTTTTAAAAAGATAACATACAACCTATTATTGTTAAACAATGGGGGCCCTCAAATTTGAGGGCCTAAGGCACATGCTTCTTTTTTTATACTGTTGAGATGGCACTGGAAGAGGCACACGGATGAAGAGGTCTGAAATTCAAAATCCTTCGGCATGAAGCAAGCACATCGACGTGCCTGCTTCTAACCTCTTATTAGTATTGATGAATTGTGGTAAAAAAATATCTATTTCACTTCCCAATAGTAATATTTTCCTTATAAAAAAGTGGAACGGATAGGGTATAATATAACAAAACATCCTACTGTCATCTTTGACACTTGTACAGGTCATTATTAAAATAATAGTATAAAAAAATTAACATAACCAAACCGATACTAGATCAGACAGGGAGGTAACATCCAACTTGAGAAGCTTGGTACCACTAGTGAGAGTGGCAAAAGGACAAGAATTAAGCATGTTGCACAAGGCAAGAGATCTAAGGCATATTTCTGCTGATGAAGGATAACAGTGTGCCCCTGCTGATACCTTTCCTTACCAAGAAAAACCGAGATGATTATAACTACCAAAGGGAGTCTACTATTGGCTTGCAATAAACTAATTGAAAATTGGTATGAACTTTAGAATGATTATCAAATATGAAACCATTCACACTAAAAGTAGAAGCTCTTAGCGGGGATCAAAAATGATTGTGTAGCTGTGTAAAGGATAGGCAGGGGCAAGAAAGAGGAAGGGACGAAAAATAAAAGAATAGAAAAGAGAAGTTATCTTTAATCATGTCGGTTGTTGTATGGTTTTCCCTTCAGATTTTCTCTACTTTGCCTTTACAGTAGGTGTTGTTATGCAATCATGTCCCCCTACAGAACACTGCATGAACAAACGCAAATAAAATCTAAGGACTAAAAGGAGGACAACAGAGTTCTTTGTCGAAAAGATTTGGGACTTATGTGGCTAGTCATTCAAATTTTGTCACAGCTCGAGTCTATGGTACGTAGTGTTCTCTTTGACTCAACAGATCTTGCAGATTTACCCCTTAAGAAACATCACATCGAGCCCAGCATATGTATCATGTGAATTTGTGCTGTCTTATCTTATATAATAAGTAATACATCACTCTCTCTTTCTGATGTGAGATGTCATATGCACTCAGTCCTTTCAAAAAAACTCTGTCAGCACGGAATCTGTCAGTCTTTCGCCTTAACATATCTTTATCACCTCGCCCTCCTTCATGGGCCTCACATACACTCCTGACTCCCCTTAGGAGTCAGCATCCTTCCTGATATTTCCCAACTATCCTTCTGTGAGAGTACAGATCTGACTCCATATTTGTCAAAAACCAAGCCCATAGTACCTATTGTTCACTTTGGCTTAAAAGACCTCATAGATTTGTCGTAAGTTACACGATATCAAGCTTAAAAACACATGTACCATGCACTTGTGTTCTATCCTTTATTTTATTTTTTTGAAACTGGTAAGGTTGGATTCTTCAGCATTAAGGGTATGCTGGCTACCTCCAAAAAGGAATAATTACAGATTTCCTATCAAATCTATAATCTGGTCTATATCATCTATACAAAGCTGTTTACACCAAAAAAGTAGAGATACTATACAATTCCATTTAACTTTGTGGATGGAATTGGATCTATCTTCAAAACATCTTCCATTTTCTTTCCAGACTGACCACCATAAACATGATGGTATTAGCTTCCACCATCTCTTTTGACTCTTACTTCCTCCCCTCCTAATCTAACAGCTCAACAACAAATCTGATGTATGTTCTGGCATTGTCCAGTTCATGCTTGTGATGTTGAGAAACAAGTTCCAAATTTGAGCAGTAAACATACAGTGCAGGAAGAGATGGTTATTTGTTTCCCCTGTCAAGTTGCACAAAAAACACCTAGGAACTAGTTGTCTGCCATTCTTTTGTAGAACTTCTCGTGTTAAACATGCTCTCTTTATCACTAACCAGGTGAAACACTTTACTTTTGTAGGAATGTCACTCTTCCAAAAGTAATTTCAATTATATTTTGGGGGCCCTGTTATCCCCATTAGTCCTCTTTTGTAGGCATTGTTGACTGAGAAGACTCCATCCTTGCTATGTTTCCACAGGATCTTGTCTGTTGCTGTTATAGTTATAATCATTCCAGCTAGTTTTTCCAGAAGCACTGCCACCCTCTCCACCTCCCACTCATTAAGTAGTCTTCTTAAAGTATGTCCCATCCCTGTTCTGTCCAACAGCCGCTAACTCTACCATCAGGGTTCTCACATATTAGAAACAAATCTGGAAAAAGTTCTCTGAGAGAGGTTTGGTCTATCCAACCATCTTTCCAAAATTTTGTTTTGTTTCCATTATCCACCTTAATATACATGTTTCCTTCCATTTGTGGCCATAGGTTTCTGATTGTCCTCCATACCCCGACCCCATATGGTTCAGAGGTGATTTTTGTACACCAAGGATTTAGTTCTCCATATTTTGCTACAATAACCTCCTTCCAGAGAGCTGCACTTCCTCAGTGTATCTCCATAGCCATTTCATCAAAAAGGCTTTCATTTTGCAACCTCAAATTTCTGATCCCTAAACCCCCTCTTTCTTTGCTAAGAACATTCTTCCAGTTGACTAAGTTATAACTCTTTCCCTCTTTATTGCTTTTCCAAAGGAAGTTCCTTCTAAGTTTGTCTAGTTTTTTCACCACCTTTGCTGGGATTGGAAACAGGGACATCACATAGGTTGGTAAAGAGTCCAGAATGGAGTTTATGAGGATCAATCTACCCCCTACGGATAGGTATTCTGTCTTCCATCTAGCAAGTTTCTTCTCCGTTTTCACCAGAATACCATTCCATATCTCCATTGTTTTCTGTTTGCTACCCAGGCGCATGCCCAGGTATATGGTAGGCAAATGTGTTACTTTGCATTCAAATATATTTGCTAGTTGCTGAATCTGAAGGACCTCATTTACCGGGAAGATATTACTTTTCCCCAGTTTAATTTCAACCCTGAAACTGCTTCAAACAAAACCAAAATCACTCTGATGTAGCTAATTTGTTCTGCTGTAGGTTCACAAAAGATGATAGTATCATCCGCATAGAGCAGATGACACACTTCTTTTTCTTCCCCCACCCACCTCCGACTTGAAAGCCTCTAATCCATCTATTTTGAGTTGCAATCCTCATCATACTATCAAAGCCTTCCATTGCCAAAATGAATAAGAAAGGGAAAAGAGGATCACCCTGTCTCAACCCTCTTTCTGATTCAAAAAAACCCACGGGTTCCCCATTCACAAGGACAGAAAACGTGACTGTTTTTATACACACCTCAATCACTTTATCCATTTGCTGCCAAATCCCACTTGTCTGAGTATTCAGAAGGAAAGACCAATTCACGTGGTCATAGGCTTTCTGAATACCCAATTTGCACATTAGACCAGCAGCTCCTCCTTTCATTCTTGAGTCAATGCATTCACTAGCAATGAGTGTTGCATCCATGATTTGCCTAACCTTTATGAAGTCATTTGATGTTTGTTGATCAATTTCGACACCACCTTTTTTAGCCTTTCAACCAACAATCTAGCGATGATCTTGTAGACTCCCCCCACCAGGCTGATTGGCCTAAAGTCCTTCAACTCTGATGCTCGAGGTTTCTTTGGGAGTAAAGCAATAAAGGTTGCATTAAAGCTCTTCTCAAAAATCTGATTAGAATGAAAAAATTGAATTGTATTGGTGATGTCTTCCTTCAACAGGGCCCAAAAAGTCTGGAAGAATACCATCGGATATCCATCAGGACCAGGGGCTTTCTTTTTTTTTTGAGAAAGTTAACTGGAATTCGATAAAAGGACCTGGGGCTCTCTCCTTTGCACATCAGTTCTATTCTTTATATACTATTCTCTCTTTCCATGAGGAATTTACTTAATGTGTCATATCAGATATGACCCCTTATTAGGGAGCTTGCTTAAGTAGAATTCTATCAGTCGTTCTCCTTGGCCCCCACCTCATCAGCCCTCCCTACGTCATGGGTGTCAGAATTTTACACATGATACTCTTTACTCCAAACACATAAACAACTATGAATAAGATACAATCATTTTTCTGTAAAAGTTTTCCAGTAGCTTTGACTGTTTAACAAGATAATATCTCTGTTCTGTAGTTCTCCTTCAAAGCAATGTAGACAGAATAGTTCTATCGCAGCATACTTCAATTCTTTGGTTAGAGTTGCAGATGATTGGTATAATTGCTAAGTAAGGCAGCTCAGCAATAATTTATCATGGATCCAACCCAAGTAAAACCATTTTTGAAGGCAGTGGTAGTTACTTAGAATGAATCCAGTGCACCAATTGACAAACAAGTCGCTTGGCTGGCAATGGACGAGAGTGCTCCACAAAGTTTTTCCTCAAAATTAAATATTACTAGACAGAATAATATTTGCATGGTGGCCGAAAATAAAAACATAGTATTTAGTTGGAAGGCAAGTGCCAGCGTAAAATTGCTCTCCAGTTGCATTATAAAATGACAAAAGAAATAACTGGCATTCAGACTAGTTTTGAAATTTTGCACTGTGCTTCAAAGGAAAAACACATACCACATGACCAAATTCATGAAAAAGATTAACCACTTCCGAGAATTGCAATAACCCAGGGTGACCATCAACTTCCTTTTCAAATTGAGAAACAAGTAGCGCCACAGGAATCTGGATTCAAGGAAATGTCGTTAAGTGAAAATCCAAGCACTAGAACCAAGCAAATGATACATTCAGCAGTTACCTGTCTAGAACCATTACTTAATAAGCCATTCTGAAGAGCTATGACACAGGTGTGAGCATATTTGCCTACTCTGTTAAGATTGTAACATATTTTAAGTATTCTACCATAATGCTGATAAAGCAAGCACATTTAACATGTAGAAGAACAATCGAGCTGGAATAACCTGGAGTACAGATCTAGATAAAAATAACCAACAAGTTCTTTAGAACTAAGATCCGAAACTGAAAAAAGTTGAACATCTGGATGCCAAACCGCAGCACCTTCAACTTCCTTGAAACCTAAGCCTAATATTGAACAAAGAATTTAAAGTATTTACGTTCTTGCACGATGTGTTAGGAAAGAAGGATCAAAGACAGCACCAAATGTAATTCGCTGTGATTACCAAATAAATCTTGGCATATTTTGAAGATGCCTGATAAAACCAAATTGATAGGAAAGTATTGTCTAATTACTCCAAAATTTATATGGAATTGTTGATCTTTGATTCTTTTGACGTAGTATGAGAGATCCTCCATGCCAAAAGGAGATTCACCTTCCTCTTTCTTCTGTATTACCAGAACAGAAAAATCTTCAAGAGGTGAAGCATATAGGTGAAGCAGACCAAGCATAAGATGAACTCTGAAGTTTTGACATATTGTAAATTCGAAGTTACCTTTAATGCTTTAAGCATTGAAAGTTCCCTGTAGGCTAAATCATTTAAGCTGGCAGAGAGATTCTCCAGAAATTCAAACACCTAAGAAGTTTCAAAATCATGAAAACAGAAGAACAAATCCATTTTGAAAATTTAAAAGACGAATTCCAATCTATGAAATAATATGTTAGTCTTTGCATATAGTGAAAAAAGAAGATATTCAACACCTCTTAACATTTTGGAAAACATCCTTCTCTTGTTTTTTTTGAAATAGGTAAATTTGTATTCTTCAGCATTAAGAATATGCTGGCCACCACCAAAAAGTTAAACTACAAACTCCCTATAGATCTATAATCTAATCAGTATCTTCTATACATAATTGTTAACACCAAAAGAGTAAAAATACAATACAATTCCATTTGACTTTATGAATGGGATTGGACCTATCTTCGAAACATCTGGCATTTCTCTCCCTCCATACTGACCACCATATACATGAGGGAATCAATCCCCACCATCTCTTTTGGCTCTTACATCTCCCTCTTCTGATCCAGCAGCTAAGAAGGTCTGATGTATGCTCAGGCATGGGCCAGCTATAGCCAGTAATGTTGAGAAACAAATTCCACAGCTGAGCAGTGTACTTGCAGTGCAAAAAAAGGTGCTTGTTTGTCTCCTCAGTCACCATACACAGAAAACACCTAGAAACCAAATGTCTCTTCTTCCTCTGTAGCACTCCTTGGGTTAGGCAGGCCCTTTTGATAACCAACCAAGTGAAGCACTTAACTTTGGAAGGAATGCTGCTTTTCCAAAAATAATTCTACTTGCATTGAGTATTTGTATTAGTCACCTGGAGACCTCTTGTGCAGGCACTCTTTACAGGAAATATCCCGTTACCATTGTGTTTCCAAAGAGGTATATCAACCTCTGTACTGCTAATAAAAAACTTGCCCTATTTTTCCCAGTAACAGGGCTACCCTCTCTATCTCCCAATCATTTAAACCAGTGTTGTGGACGGCGAGAGGCGACAAAAGGCGACAAGGGCCTGCCTCGCCACGCGGCGAGGCGCTTGCCTTTTTGAATAAAGGCGCCAATTAATACCAAAAATTAAAAATATTTAATTGCATATTTTATCCAAAGTCTTAATAGCAATAACACATATAAGCCCTTATTTCTTCTCTAATTTCCGACGGACAAGCGGCACATTGTTTAACATTTTTGAAACCACCCACTAAATGTTGTTTGTGTCGCGTTATTCCACCATTGAAAGTACTCCCACAAAAGTTACAAGTGACCGAATCTTTTGTCGCTCCTTGAGTGCCATAATTCCATCCAATGTCCCTCTTTTTGCTAGCATCCGCCATTGATTATCAAATTCAATTAATTCGCTGTTTAGGAATATTGGAATAAATAATTAGGTCTTAGGAAAAGAATTTTTTTAAAAAAATTAACACTTGTTAGTTGTTACACTTGCTGACTGCCTGAGTCCTCACTAGTCACTGCTGCTTACGCAGCTTACCAAAATAAAAAAAAATGAAGAAGAAAGAACAGATCAACAGAAGAAGAAGAAGAACAGAGACGCGAGTCGCGACATACCTGAGAGAGTCGCGAGGTCGCCGGCGAGCCGCGAGGGTGAAGAGATGTGACAGCGAGGGAGAGCGAGGAAGCAGAGACGCGACAGCGAGGGAGCAGCGAGGGCCGACGTGGGACAGCGAGGGAGCAGCGAGGGCCGGCGAGGGACAGCGAGGGAGCAGCGAGGGCCGGCGAGGGAGAAGAGAAGAGTGAATCGATCGATCGAGAGAGAGAGAGTCAGAAATTTTCGAAAGTAAAAAAAAAACCCTAATTTTGACTAATATTATTAAGTCAAAAAATTTTTAATCAAAAAGGCGGCGCCTTTCTCTCGCCATTTCAGCGCCATTATCGCCAGGGCCTCGCCTTTTTCGCCTCGCCTCGCCTCGCCTCGCCTCTCGCCTTTGGCGACGAGGCGAGCGCCTTTCATAACACTGATTTAAACGCCTCCTAAAAGATATATCCCACCCCTGTGTGGACCAACACTCTTGGATTGTCACCTCAGGGTTTACACAAATAAGAAATAGGTAAGAGAAAGCCTCTTTTAAATGAGTTTGATCAAACCACCTATCTCTCCAAAATTGTCTTTGCTCCATTGCTAACCTTGAGGCAAGTATTGTCTTCCATAAATTGCCATAATTCCTAATTGTTCTCCATACTCCCACTCCATAGGTATCAGTTACCATTTCCGTGCACCATGGGCTAGCTTCACCATACTTAGACACAATGACTTCCTTCCACAAAGCCCTTATCCTCATTGATGTATCTCCATAACCATTTCAATCGAAGACTCTCATTTTGCAGCCTAAGATTTCTGATTCCCAGACCCCCATCTTTTTTACTAAGCAACATTGTTTCCCATTTCACCAAACAGTAACCTTTCCCCTCTTTATTCCCTTGCCACAGAAACTTCCTCCTCATCTTTTCCAGTTTTTTCACCACTTTTGCTGGGATTGGAAAAAGTGACATCACATAAGTAGGTAGTGAATCAAGGACAGAGTTTATTAAGATCAATCTACCCCCCCCCCCATTGATAGGTACTGGGCCTTCCACTTAGCTAACTTCCTCTCAGTTTTCTCTAGAATCCCATCCCATATCTCTAGTGCTTTGTGTTTATAGCTTAGGAGCATACCAAGATAAGTGGTTGGTAGCTTTTCTATTCTGCATCCTAGTGTGTTGGCAAAGCTTTGAACCTAAGGAACCTCCAAAACTTGAAAAAGGTTGCTCTTTCCCCTGTTGACTCTCAACCCTGAAGCACTCTCAAAGAGTATCAAAATTAGTCTGATAAACCTAATTTGATCCACTGTTGGCTCACAAAATATGATGGTGTCATATGCATACAATAGATGGTATATCTCCTTACCCTCTCCCATTCTGTTGTTCATCCGGAAACTTGTGATCCATCTCTTTTGGATTGCAGTCCTCATCATACTGTCAAACCCCTCCACAGCTAAAATAAATAGGAAAGGAGAGAGTGGATCTCCTTGTCTCAAACCCCTCTCAGAGGCAAAAAACCCAATAGGCTCACCATTCACAAGAACAGAGAATCTAAATGTTTTGATACAAACTTCCATCCATTTCACCCATTTTATCTCCAAATCCCATTTGCCTTGGGATATTGAGGTGGTAGTCCCAGTTCACATGATCATAAGCTTTTTGAATGTCAAGCTTACACATTATTACCGGAATACCATTCTTTCTTCTTGCATCTATGCACTCAATGGCTAATAATGCAGCATGCATGATTTGTCTTCCCTTGATGATTGTCATCTGATGGTTGTTGACTAGCTTATCTAACACTGTTTTGAGCCTCTCAACTAGAATTCTAGCTATGATTTTGTAAATCCCCCCTACCAGACTAATAGGTCTATAGTCTTTTAGCACTGTGGCTTCTGGTTTCTTTGGAATTAATGCTATGAAGGTTGCATTGAAGCTTTTCTCAAAAGTTTGGCTGGTGTGGAAAAAATTGACAGTGTCTATAATGTCCTTCTTCAAGGTCCCAGAAAGTTTTAAAGGAAAAACCATTGGGAAACCATTTGGACCAGGAGCCTTCTCCATAGCACAAATGTTAAGACATTTCACGACTATTAAAAGGAAACAAAAGGTAGTAGTTAGAATCTTGTGGATATTCTAGGATATGGTAAATTTAGTACAGCGTGACTTACTCCCTGTAATCAAGTAAGAAATTAGCTGTTGTGCAGTAAAGCGAGAAACTCCATCGTCGTGCAGTTTTCAGGCCAGTGTGTTTACTGTACGACATTGAAAGAAGGATCTGAGGAGAGGTAGAAGTAGGCAAAAGAATAAGTATTGGGGAAAAGTGACTAGACTGGACAGGGTACATATGCAGATTACCGAGGAAATGACCCTAGATAAGAAGATATGGAGGTCGAGTATATAATAGAAGTTTAGTTGGTAGTTGTGCGTAGTCTTGTTTTTCTTTCCAAGTATTATTAGCATTACTTTCCTATTACTATTATTATTACTCTCCTATAACTATTACTCTTCTATTTCTATGATTCATATTATTATCTTTTGTTTCCCTTGCTTCGGTATTGTATTATTTGTTGTTGTTACTGTTCTTTTCTACATTATTTGCAACGTGGTATCTTCACTACTGTATTTACTTTTCAAAGATGCTTAAAATGCTTAACTTGAGCTGAAGGTCTATCCAAAACAGTCTCTCCACCTTCACTAAGTTGAGGTAAGACCTGCATACATATCACCCCCCTAGACCCACTTGTGGAATTACACCGGGTATGTTTTCATTGTTGTGATTACTGTCCAGCGAGTTTGTCATTCTCCATCAGTACGTGCATATACCAGTGAGACCCTGCTTCATCATGCAACTCAAGAAAGCTAATTGTCAGACACCCTATCACGCGCCTCCAGCCCTCCATGCACCACCGACATTTAACTCTGGAGTATGTGCAACCTTTTCCCAACAAACTTTCTTCGCTGATTTTGGTTTGTGGGGTTTGCCTATTTGATCTAACCTTACCATCAAGGTTCCATCAGTTTTTGGTTGATGAAGAGCCTTTATCTTAAAGATCAGATATTTTTTTACCACTTTTCACCATATATTTTGCAAACTACCAGTCGACCAACATCCCAATACACTCACAATGATTTGAGAAGCTTTTCCAGTGACCTTTCCGGCAAATAGGGTCACTTTCCAGCAATTCCCGTACATCTTCTTCAGCTCCCTATTTAGGAAAACTCTATTCAGCTTACAACTCCATTCACTTGACTTGGAGGTAGAGGCTTTTGGTACAAAATCCTTCGGATCCTACTTTGAATGACTAAATAGTTTCTTTACCCAATTATATTGAATTTTGTTATGGTCCCTGATATGGATCTAGTTATGGGGCGCTGCGACATGAAATCAAATGTTTTCTTCCTACGACCTATGGTGCTGGTTCGTTAAGATAAAACGTGCAACCTGTTGAGTTTGAAGTACTCAAAATCATAATAATTTTCTTCTCATCTTTCCATGGAATTCAAATAACGTAAATATAACATTGGTGGATTAACCACCCACCTTATAACAAGGAAGTAACTTCCTACTACTACTGAAATGAGAAAGTGGAGGAATAACCTCCTTACTGCTAATAACTGCAACAAAGAAAACAACTGCTACAGGAAAACAACTGTTACAGAAGAACTATTACAGAGAAAACAGGAAAATATAATTAAAAGCTGCTGATTTAATCAACTTTTTAATTAAAGGGTGCTAACAAGTTTCTTTAGCACAAGGGCAAACATCCTTTTAGACAGTTTTTTGGTGATTGATTTGTTTCCTAACTTAATTATAAGAGTAATGGATATTGTAATGATTGTAATTGATTTTGTAATATTTTCTTTGCTTATTTAGTTGTAGGACATATTGTAGCAGTACCCATTCTCATGGGATGTAAATTCCTCAAAAACTACAACAAAGACTTTTCTTCTTCTTGAAATCTGCATGGTATCAGAGCTATTAATAGCCTTTTGAAGAGAGCTTTCTCCCGCTACAGCACTAGAGTTCCATGAAGTTGAGTTCTCCTCCCTTTACTGTTTTGAGGTGGTTGTATGCGTAGGAATAAGTGCGAAAACGAACACCAACAGGGACTTCCTCTTGAACTGGTGACAAAATCACAATAAGCATCTCCCACAAATACCTCCGCACAAGCTGTCATGCACCTCCCACATTCCAGATTCTGGAAAAGCTTAAGTTCACGCCCCGGCGCATGGACATTTGCGTACTTTTTGGAGAAATTTTGACACTGAGGGCCACAGGCACATTCTGAGTACACCCATTTACTTGACTTGAAGTGGAAGCTTTTGACACTTCAATTTTTAGCTTCCAAATATTTTAACCAAGTCCCTCACCGATTTCATATCAGTTACATTTGTAACGAGCTTGATAAATATGGGTTGTATGCATCAACTTAAGGGAAAGTGCTAGAATCTTGTAGATATTCCAGGGTCTCGTAAATAGTATACCTTGATTTACTATTCGTAATTATGTATTCGATTCAAAGCCTGTTTGGCCAAACTTTTGGGAGGCCAAAAGTGTGTAATTCTTTCTAAAAAATGCTTTGTTTAAAAAAGTGGGTGTTTCGCCATGTTTTAGGAGTAGCACAAACTATTTTTCAGAAGCTAAAGAAAAGTAGCTTTTCCCCATAAGTACTTTTTTGAAGAACACTTTTGAGAAAATAAACTTAGAAGCACTTTTTAAAAGCTTGGTCAAATGCTGATAGCTGCTCAAAAGTGTGCTTTAAATTAATTAGTCAAACACAAAGTGTTTCTCACCAAAAGTACTTTTTGAAAAGCACTTCAGAAGTTTGGTCAAACAAGCTATCACTCTCCATTCTTAGAACATGTACACTTAGCTATTTAAATGCCACTGGCATGAGGAAATAATCAAGCAGTATTTTCTCTCTTTTTTTTCACAGAAGTGAAGGAATAGAGATAAGACAGACATACATTCCTAACAGGGGCCAAAAGGAGAGTGTATTCTTCTTTGGGACAATTCTCCATGTTCTGTAAAGAATGTCAATCACCAATAAAATTTGCACCAACCTTAGAGGAAGACTTTGCCATTCTATCATCAGTGGCATAGTCAGCATAATTTGCAAAGCCAAGCAATCTAGCAAGTTTGTGACGCAACTGAATCTGAAATTGAACAGGAAACATGAACATTATCCAGAATTTGAAATAGGAGAAGGCAGCACATCAGTACAGTTTAGTCAGTCAATCTACAACAAGCAGGAACTTACATTGACAATAAGTTCATATTAGGGTGTGTTCGATATGAAGGAAATTATTTTCCATAACGGAAAAAGTTCTCTTGAAAAATATTTTCCAAGAAAATAAATGGGTTCACTTATTTTCTTGTGTTCAGTACGTAAGCAAAAAATTATTATACTAAAACCATTTCTATATAATCTAGACAAATAATATGGGAGACGGGGGAGGGAGGAATACAAGCTAAGGGGTTGGGGTTGAAAATGAGGTGTGCTGGAGGGTGGGGATGACACAATCAATGTGAAATGCCACTTGTGGGACTTGTTTTCCCAACTTCAATTAGGGAAGTCATTTTTAAAAGAACTGTGTTCCTAGAAAAAAAAATTAAAAAAGCTTTGGTCAACCGAACATGGAAAAATTGGAATAACATTGTTCCTCCATATTGAACACACCCTTAATCATCAATATTTTCAGTGAAAATAATGTTCTCCACATACAACCAAACAAATTAAGTAAAAGCTCATTGTACATAGTACATTCAGTACTCTATAAAATAAAACTACGAAGACTATCAAGTATCAAGTCAATATTATTCTTCACAAATGCTCAAAAAATTGCAAACTTCTGGGTGTTCTTACCAGCTGTTCAAGGATAGTAACATTGGCTTCACATCTGTGCCCATAAGAAATAGCAACAGCTCTTCTGGTTGATCCAACCTTCAAAGACAAACAACTTCTAAATCACAAATGTTTAGGATGTATCAAAAAAGACCAACAAAGAACTTTCAGAAGTAACAATTTTGCATAAAATGAAACCGTATTTCAAGAGATACTAATTAGGAGGAAAAGCATTGAAGAGATCTTTAGAGACTGAACTGAAGCATTAAAATTGATAGTCTGGTATTCTTGTCAGGGACTTAAACTTTGCGCAAGGACTTAACAGCATCATCTAAACTCAGTTTGGCTGGAGATAAATAATAGAACTCGAACATAAATTAAGTTTAAAAACTAGCTTATGTGCTGCTTTTCTGGTAAGAAAATGGAGAGTTCGTAGCTGTACTCAACAGTTTATATTAAGATAAAATTTAAAGATTTGAAAAAACCCAGCTGACAGCCATTTAGGCCAAGTCCAGGTCGGTGGATATTCCAACATCTACCTTGAGATCGTTGCCAACTACCTACACAAAAAAATATAATCCCCACCCAGCCGCCAGAGAGAATACTAGAGTGCATAAAGCTTTCCCTCTTTCCATTAAAACCAATGATCTCCTATTGCTAAGCCCCTATCTCTCTATTTCTCGCTCAAATAAGCTAAACAACCAAACCTCAAAGCCTACTGAAGGTGCTGATAGAGGCTTAGGTCGAAAACTTCGTGAAAGAGGATTTTAGAAGGAAAAGGGTCAAAATAGCCCCTCTACCATGCGAAAGGATCATACTTGCCCTCCGTCACACCTGCAATGCCAAAATACCTCTAACATTATACAAGTAGCTCAAATATGCCCATCTTCCGAGAGTTGTCCAAGATGTATGTTCAATCCACATGGCATTGCCATTTTGGTGAGGTGGATACCACATGGCATGCCACCTTATTGCCCACCATTTTACCCCCTCCCCCACTTTTCTTCTACAACTAGCAGCTCCCTCTTCACCATCACTACCACCATTATCACCACCTTCCCTCAGCTATTAGACCCTCCACTGAACAACCACCTAAAAATCCCCAAATCCATTCACAAGATTCATACACAAAACCTTTCTCTTCACAAAATTTTTTTAGCTTCCCAATAAACTGGGATACCTAAAACTTAACCCACAACAGAATCTAATCAGCCAATTACAGCACTAAACTTGAGGTTTTTAACAAACACAGAAGCTCTTTATGTTCAACTATATGAGCCAGACTATGTTCAGATTTCAAGTGAGAACAGTTCAACAGGTGATACACATAAAGAGAAGTTACACTTTCAATGTACGGAACCTAAAGGAATCACTGCATCGATTGCAACACATGAATGATGAACCTTCCTGGTTCCAAACAATCAACATGTACCATGTGAAGTCTAAAAAAGAAAACATTAGGTGCAATAAAAAAAGAAAACATTAGGTGCAATAACATAAAATAGTAGTCCTGTGACACGAAATGGCCTTTCAGCAAAAAATGCACTCATATCATAATTTCTGCTTGACTCACCTTGCAAAGCTCCAGAACTGGTGAAATTTGATGGCTTCTCATAATGATTTTTCTTTTACCATCTTCAGATCTTTCTAAGCTCTGCATGGAGTCAACAATGAAAAGAGCATCAGGAAATACTCTTCGAAGGGATATATTTAATCAAGTAAAATGCTTTTCAAAGTGAATATGATTGAAACTTATGCAGCCAACATAAGTGCTTAACTCTAAGTCTCTTTGAAATGCATTTCATGAAGATTTTCGCTTAAAGATTTAGAATGTTACATGTTAGTTTTAAATACTTTCTGCAAACAGAACTTTCCAGCAAGATCCCAGTGATAAGATCTTTTCCATTGACTTTCTGCAGGTTCTCCAGCGACCATTGTGGTGACAATTTGCTTTTTATGTTTTCAAGATCCACAAATTCTAGTTGATTTTTCTCATTGTAACTTTGAGTTGGCATGTTTGAATATTAGGGAATGTGAAGTGTTAGTCTTAGAATATTAAATCCAGAACTAGAAGTGTCATGTTTTAAAATGAAATTTTGTCCCAACTTGGACAATAATCATTTCTGTAATATTGATACCTACAAATAGATGTTTTGTTCCTTAAATCATCAACTTGTAAATATATTTCTTCTCCTCTCTTATTTCTCACACAAATCAAGTGAATTTTGTTTAGGCTTTAAACACATAAAAATATGTACTGCTGCAGGATGCAATTATAACCACCCAAAATCAATTTTTGTCTGAGCGTAAAAGGTACACATCCCAATATGATAATTGATTGTCCCTCTGCAATTTCATCAGACTTAATAGCATGCAGTGATGATGATTGAAAATGACAGTAATAGAAGGCAACAAATTTCCTCTGTGCGTTCAGACTAATAAAAAGTATCAGGTGGGAGATGGATGTGAAAACGTGTCTTACATCTTACCTTGAGAAACTCCTGGGGTAACCCTTCAAGCTCCATGTCAGTGAAAAGTAGAAAACTACAATCATCATCCAGATTACGAATGTATTGCATGCTTAGCTCGTCTATATTTGCTGTTAAACGCTGCCACTCCTCTTTCTTAGATAAGGTCAGATTCACACCATTCCTTTCAAATTCTCGAACCTGTCACTGAATCTTAACCCATAAAAATTTGAAAAGAATATCTTCAAATAAAAAATCACAACTTCAACAAAAAACAAATTTTGAATAACTTCTCAGCGAGAAAGGATCATTTGGAAGTGTACACAGAGGAATAAGATAGAGAGGTCCTGGCAAAAAGACCTTTTTAACACTTGAAATGTCAACTTTATGAACATATTATAAGAATGAAGAAAACTCATCTGAATATAAGCGCTGAATATCAATATTGTGAAGAAACAAAGTATGCTTTTCCAACAGCTTTCGATCAAAAACTAGTAGCAATGAAAAATAATTAAAATGTCTGTCCTTGCAGAGGTAGAGAATAAAAATGTGTATACAGCAAACTTGTGTAATCTCCACCATAAGGTCCAGAAGTGGAATGAGTAACTAATTCTCAATTTTTTAATAGCATAAGACTGAAGATTTCACTTCCCAAGAAAGGTAGCTCTGACTAGTTAGACACATTTGTCTTTCTCAACTCTCAACAAAGTGAACACCTTACATAACTTTGGAAAACCTAAACACAATTTTAAAAAGTACAAGCCTTGGAAATACCTCAACTAGAATGAAACTAAGCCACCAAAAGGTTGAGTGAATGAAGAAAAAGAACATAAGTTGTGAATGATCAAATGGCAGTGTATATGAAAAATCAAATAAGGGAAGAAATCAGCCCATGCCCCATACCAGGAACCGAGTAAAGCTTTTAGCATCAGTAGTCCATCCGTCCCCTGTTACTGTCAAAGCTTTGACAACTCTGTACACATCCTCGCGCTTCCTGAACTCATATAAAGAAAAGTTCAGATTTTTTAGTTAATTACAGAACAAGTGCTTCTTGGCAAAATTTGACAGAAAAGTAGTCCTAAGAATTTAAAACTAATGCACAGAAAAATATTACTAATTTTTTTGAGAAGGAAACAAAAAATAAACATCAGCATATAGTTGCCAGATTCAAGCTACAGACATACTTGTGTATTGATGGGAGTTTAGAAATAAGACTCAGCATGGCAAGTTGGGAATCCTAGATAAGAATGCTGCATGAAGAGCTTGTTGAAGGACCTGTACCTTAGTTTTCTAGGCATGTCAGTAAGTTTTTCGACAAACAAAATGCACAGCAGAGTCATTTGTAATTTACATTTTGGAAATAAGTATTTTTTTACCAATGTTCTTTGGCCGCTATTATACAGTACAAGCCATTAAATTTATGATTTTACATAAATGTGTCAAGGAAGAAAACTTCAGACAGGCAATGAGCTAGACATAGATCATAAATTAAAGTTTTTGTCTAATAATAGACATATAGTAAAACAATGAATAGAGGATTCAGGGTAGTCTTGATGACAATGGAAGGTGAAAATTAAGATTTTTAACAAGATATATCACGTCCTCTTAATGACCAGGAGGATCACAGGTTAATACAGTTGTGGTTCGAAAGGTCAAGATGAAATGTGGATGATAATTCCTGATAATATAGTTCCATGCTAGTTGATTTCAACAAATTATCACTACCTCAAATGAATAGAAAAAATCCATTTCAGCAGATCAAACTCGGAACCAGACAGTTCTTTGCTACTTCAACGTACTAGAAAGAAGAAGAGGAATTTGCAGTTAAAAGATTTGTGGAAAGAAATAGAAGTGTTGAAATTTGCAATGGCAGAACCTGCACATTGTAATGTGAGCATCTATTTTCCTCTCTGCTTCAGCACTAGCTTTGCGTACATCCTCAGAAGCTGATAACCATTTAGGAAAGACACATGATTGGATCAATGGGAACTGCTGTGCCTCCAACTCTGCTAATGGCAATATCACATTTACATAGCCAACCTACAAATTTAAAAATAAAAATTCGGCTACATCTTGAGAAATGCATATCATATTACAGCATAATACTTAAAGCACAGGACAGTTATAAATAGCAATATTTGACAGGTCCACAGAAAAACAAACCCCTGATTGACTCCAAAAAAGTAAACAGAGAGCTAAAGACTAGTTTTCGGCTAACAAGACTGCAACCTAGCACCCAAGTTAGTCCAACAGTCAGCTAAATGAAATACTTCCCTCTTCACATAATTAATTTGAACTCAACCAAATATTAACAAAGTTTTAATCAGATATAAACATAGGGTAATATACTTAAGTTCTTTGACACTTGGGCATAGTATAGGTTTACAACTTAATCCTCTACCAATGTATCTAAGACGGTGTTCTATGTGGGGCTTTACGCAACCAGCCAACTATTTATAATCACCCAAGATTCCATCAATTCTAACTAGGGGCAACCCCCTGCCTAAATTGCAGTTTTGTTGTTGCACTAACATAAATTGCCAAACATATAAGCAACTTATCAGCCGTAGAATTGTATTTAGTATCAGTTAGAAAAATCTTCCAGAATATAAAAGTTCCATTAGATAAATGTTTGATAAGTTTATGTATTTCACAACAAATGGTATGGTTAGAGAATGAATAATTATTCGCTGTCAAATTTGAGATTGCAGAATTAACTAGCACAGATCCAGCTAAGAGAGAGAAAAAGAGAAGTTTTCAAAGTGTATTACATAAGACACTACAATGTATTACATAAGACACTACAATGTTTAATATATATGTATAACTGCTAGTACGAACTCTCCTAATGAAAGGCCCAGGTAAAATCCAAGCACACAGCCCTTCCCAGGTCTTTCCCACCCCCATTAATCTCATTCACAGTTTGGAGTTTGCTGGAGGCAAGATTCCGGTCAGGAATAAAGTCAGAGTTAATAAAATTTAAGTTCAGTCCCTTCTATTCATGTCTTACCTTTGCAACATTGGAAGAAGTAAGAAGACACAATTTTGAGCTTCCTAACAGGCCTACAAACCCAACTTGTCTATTTTCTGGCGTTCGGAAATACGCTGGGACAGGTATCACCAGGTTGGCAACATGCTGGATTCACTTAAGTTTGTCGATCACACAACCGATAGAGTGATTAGAGAGTTGGTGAATAGTTCTCTAGCAATCAAGATGTAGAAGCCTAAGCAATTGAAGATGCCCCTCGACGCAACAGTCTTAAGACATAGAAAGTGTATGAATAGACACAAGATATGAGTCGCCTACAAGATATAAAGAATAGATTATAGTCATAGAAGGGAAAAGAGGAACTATTGTCATATGACTTTTGGATATTGTACTTCCCCTAAATGTTTTTAATATTAGTGAATGATGTCATATATCAGGCCTTCTTGAATTTTTAATGTCAATCTACAAGTCCCAAAACCAAACTTGAAACTCAACATACTCCTCAAAGTTGAGAATCATTTTGTCTGAAATTGGTAACCTCACAAGCTTATCCGCCCCTTAAGTAATCCACTGAGCAGTTCGCTAAAACCTACAACCCACAAACATGTAGGTAAACCAACCCACCATATTTGTTTTTGTTTTTGCTAAGGTAAAGTTTGATATTTTTTTTTATGACCCTGGTGTCCGGGCCAATTTTCGTGCACATCAACAACTAATTTCACGGGATATCTACCACCTCTCACAGCAACATGTACAATGTAACTTCGTCCACCAAGGCAAGGACAGATGGCAAGAATCACCAAGTGTCCTTTTTGTCTCCGCTAAGTTTTGAACCTGAGACCTCATGGTTCTCAACCACTTCATTGACCACTTGTTGAATTTCATACTTTGCTTGTGAGCTCAAGCTATATTAATGGCGCCATGGCGGAAGAATTTTGAGAGAAGATAGAAGAGAGAATTTTATTTCATAATGAACTAACTCTGTGAAGTTACATACAAGAGTATTTATAGTGTGATTGAAAAGATCATCACAGCTGGACACTTTAGTATCGGAATTAGTTACTAATCTAACCGACTTTTATTCCCACTAACTACAGCTAACAACTAAGTAGCATATACGTGTCAGCTTAACCAACTAACTTCAATACTCCCCCTCAAACTGGAGGGTGTAATAGATCAAGTACTCCCAGCTTGTTTAACAGAACCCACTAACTTCAAAACCACTACGCACACCCTTAGGTGCAAGGTCAAGTTTGATATGTATGTGTCAACATTAAGAATATGCTTTCATGTACAACAGAGTACACACCTACCCACCAAAGTTGGAGCAGAAGGAAGCATACTAAGTGTTGCAGCAGAGATTTAAGAGTAAGATCTTCATGTTATTAATTTTTACTTCAGCCACTCAGCCATGACCTCAAGCTTGAGAATCATTACAATACAAAGTCCATTCATTTTCAATTTCATGACAAAAAAACAATCACCTTATTACCCTAACCAAGAAAAACAATATATCCAAAATATTAGAATAAAATGGACATTCAACATTCCATAATGCAACTAGGTACAGTTAAACACAATAAGTACCTTGTCAAGTGGAATCGAAGCAACAGCATCATGAACCTGTTTCGATTTTTTAATTATGCTTTCTGCCAATTTCATAATTTCAGAAGCAGATAGGTCCACTCGAACTTTTGAACCTGGAACATCTGCAATTCAATAAAGAGAACACTTTTAATTCCCAAATTATCACCAATAGTTCCCAAATCTGTTTAAATAAACGAGCAAGCCAAGTAAAGTAACCTTTTTTCTTTCGATGTTTGTTGTTGATAGCGGAGATAGCAAAGTTGACTGCAATAGCAACAAGAGCAGCGGCTCCTGTCAAAGCGATGAGATTGTTTCTATCTCTCTTCTGCTTAGCCATTTTCTACTCCCTTCAATTCTACTTTGTTAATCTTTTGCCGAGAGAAGAGAGAAGAGCTGCTGCTAAAATCCAATTCTGCAGAGTCTCTGTGTCCCCTTATTCTTGATTTTCTCACCGAAACATCAAATGGGAGGGAAATTTTAGTGAGTTTTTTTTTTTCTTGAGGTGGACTAAGATGCTGACTGTACAACTAAGATCATTGGTACTGGGCCTTTTGTTTTATTGGGCCGGAGATTTTCATTATAATTGTGTCATGGTCAATATCCCGATACCTCGCGTCTTAATTTTGACTCACTTAATATGTTGATATATCATATAATTTTGATATATCGTGTATCAGTTTTCTAATATATCTCAATACATTGTGTATAGTGATGTATCTGACCGATATATTATGCAAAGTGATGTATCATACATCGTGTATAATGATGTATTCGACTGATGCATCATGAAAAGTGAAGTATCTGAGGATAGGAGAAAGTATAATTTTTTGTAATTTTTTCATATGGTAGAAAATTTTAACAAATATGATAAAAATAAGTTGTGTATTTAAATAATTTTTTCATTGTTTAATTTTGAGAAAAATCCAAAAAACAATTAATATTAGGTTGAAATTAAGTCTTCTTGGCTATACTTTCATTAGTTATACTTGGGAAAAGGATTTGATATTTTTTAAGGGTCGTTTTGGTTTGAAAACATCTAATTTAGTATATCTTTTATATTTTATATCAATATTTATATTGTATTAAAAGTAAGAACACCAACAGTGCAATAACAATAAAGTACCGCACTAAGAAAGAGGGAGGATAAATATATTTAAGATGTGTAGCAAAAAAATTTTAAGAGTGACTTATTTAATAATATTCACATTATTTTTAAAAATAGAGTGTTATATGATTTGATTTTTACGTGCAATACATGTGCGTCTAAAATAGTTATAATTAAAAACTTGCCAAATGTAAAATGTAATTTGTTTTCCTTCAAACAAGCTAAAGAGAAAATTGAGATACATGAAGTGAAATTGAAGGAACATTACGATTTAATTTGAGTTGGTCTCTAATCAAAATAAAAATGAACCAATTTAACTGGTTCTAAAATTATTTGAGTAAAAATGATAATTAATATTTATGGGCTACAATGTACGTAGTCCTGCGAATCAAATAACTCATGACTTGTGTTGATCATGACTATTATAATTTTACTTTTTAATTAATTAAGTATTCTTTCTTTATCTTTGTAACATTATATTTTATTACCTACAATTGAATAAAAATCTCTTGTTCTTTAAATTTTAAATGATAAATTTAAAAATAAATTAAATCTACTTGAATCGAAATCAGGCATACTTCACTTTAAAACTGATAGCACAAATACAAACAAAAAATATTGACAAAACATATGATAACTTATAATTCAAATCAAACCAAATTAGAGAAAGTGTTGATTTAGTTATATTTTAATTTAAATAATTTTTTTATCCAATGAATAATTCCACTCGTGATATGTTGGACAGAAAAATAATGCCCATCATATCTTGAGATTTATTAATGCTAATAATTTTTTTACAAAATATAATTAAATTACTTTGATAAATTAACTACAATAAAAATGAAGCACAAATCAACATTCAATTTTATCAAAATAGTAAATTTTGAATAGTCAAAGTAAATTAATAGAATTTGACTTTATTTCACAGTGAATAAAAGGAAAATAATTTAAAAGATATCAAATTAATTTTAATATTAATTTGCTTACCATTATTTCAATGAAATAATGATAACACAATCTTCTTGATTTTCGATGCAAATGTAAAAGAGGCATAATTAGAATACTTCATTCTACACGAATGACTCATCCATCGAGCTACACTTCATGAGAATATTTGATTGTGATTTTTTTGATTTGATTATTAGGGATAAATAATTTTGTCATTAATAAATCATATTTCGTCACTAAAAATTTTGTGTGACAAAAAATAATTTGTCACTCAGTCGTCACTAAATGTGTATCTCTAAAAGTATACAAAGACGATTTATTGCTTTATCGCTAAAAGTATTATATTAACTACAAAAATAAAAATAGTCCCAAAATGCTTAAACATTTGTGACAAATTTAGTTGTTGAAAAAATTAGATATTTTGTAATTAATAGTATGTTTTGTCACTAAAAAGGTTATTATTATCGACAAAATTATATCGTCGCTATTTATTTTACCTCAATCAGTGACGAAATCAATTGTCTCTAAAGTTGATATATTTCGTAGTTGAACAAAATCTAATTTTGTCACTAATAACAATATTTTATATACAAAAATTATTTTGTAAAAATGAGTTTATATATATATATATATATATGATAAATTTATCATTATAAAAAAATGAGTTTATGGACTCTAACAACTAATCATTCATTGAAACTAATAACGATTCTTGTATTATTATTTAATTTTCCATTGTCTCATAATAATATTAGTTTCAATTTCACCGAAATTTCATACAATCTAATATTTTTTTTCTTTGTGTTTTTCATAATCAAATTTCTTTAATTGTGTTTGTTCATGTATCTAACTTAATTCTTATTTATTGTGATACATTTATAGATAAATTTTGTTTCAACTTACATACATCCTTTTCACAACCTTATTGTATTAGATAAGTTATCATCAACTACAAAATGATACATTATGTAAACTATACATATTTTTCTAGGCAAATAATACAATACATATCAATTTATACGAGATACATAATAGTAATGTATCACGCACTAGTTTTTTAGATATGATACGTAAATTCAAATTTATACTAAATGTATCAATTACATAGCAACTACCACATGGTAATGTTTAGATCTCAAATCTAACATTTTATAGGCAATAATTACTTATTTAATGTATCTAGTATAAATACAATACTTATCAATTTAAACGAGATACATAAAAAATAATGTATCATGCACTATTTTTTTGATATGATACGTAAATTCGAATTTATACTAAATGTATCAATTACATAGCAACTACCCCACAATAATGTATCTATCCGAAATCTAATATCTTATTGACAATAACTATTTATTCGGATAAGGGCCTAAAATACCCTCAAAGTATTCAAAATGGTACAAAATTACCCTTCATCCACCTATTGGCTCCAAAATACCCTTTCCACCCACGTATTGGGTCCAAAATACCCTTGTCATCCACCTTTTGGTTCAAAATTGACCACTTATTTAACGGTTTTATATATAAACTATTTAAATATTTTTAAAAATATGTGGTGCTCAACTATTTGTTATAATTAAACTTATTAGTATAATTTATATGTCTATCCATTACCCACCCATTACTAATTAAATTCCTCTTAATAAACTCGTCACATTATTAATGCAAGCTACTGCCAATTGAGTGTCTTTTAAAATTATAGAAGTAAATTATCATACATTCAAATGGCTAAATAAAAATCACCAATAAACTTAAAAGTCTGACTATGTTCATCTTAATTATTCTTAAGTCTCAATTATGTGATGTTACTTCATAGGTAACCTTTTTTTCAAACTAATATAATAAAGGTTTTAAAACAAAGCATAAATGTTTATAAAATTATATTTTTAAAAAATGCATGAATTAATTCGGGATGTATTACTTGTTTACCTTTAATCATAAATTTCTAATTCAATTTTGAAAGAAAGTGTCCTCCTAAATAAGCGGCTCAACCTAAATTAAATTGGGGTTTCGATCCAGACTCGAATAATTTTGGATGTCATTTTCAGGAATCTATAATTTCATTGTGTTTTAGTAGTGTTTATGACGATTTTGATATTATAATTGGATCATTAATTGAGTGAGGTTTAGTTAGTAATGAGTGGGTAGTGGGTTGGTTTATAAATTATACTAATAAATTAAAATTATAATCAATAGTTGAACGCCAAGTATTTTAAAAAATATTTAAAGAGTTTAATTTTAAAACAATTAAAAAAGTGGTCAATTTTGAACCCAAAGGTGGATGACAAGGGTATTTTGGAGCCAATAGGTGGATGAAAAGGACATTTTTGAGCCAATAGGTGGATGGAGGGTAATTTTGTACCATTTTCAATACTTCAAGGATATTTTAGGCCCTTTTCCGTTATTTATTTAATGTATCTAGTATAAATATAATACTCACCAATTTAAACAAGATACATAAATAGTAAATGCTAATTAGCAAAGATATTTATGATGTATCTTCTCAAAATTTTCAACAATTTTGAATCAAATTTGTAAAGATCTTCAATAAACTAGGAGAAGAATTTTGAATCTCAAAATTTTCAACAAATTCGAATCAAAATTGAAGAACTGAGAGAAGAAATTAAGAATTTTCAATCTCAAATTTTTTGATAATCTTGAATCAAAATTGAAAGGATCTTCGATGAGCTCGAAGATTCAAAAAGATATTGTTTGACCAACAACAATTCCATCACCTTTGTATTCTTCATAACTCACATCGCTTATCCAAAATTTCGACAAAAGTTTTTGAATCAAATCTGAAATGTTTATGGTTGAACGAGGGAGCAATTTGAATTTTGAATTTCATATTCTATTAGGATTTTCCTATGTATGATTGAGAATAAGAGAAATATAAGCATAATTTATGGGATTTAATTTATTTTCATATTTTATTCCTTTTTTTGTGCAACTATAAAATTTTTATCTTGTATTTGAATTAATGTATTCGGATAGTTATTTATGTCTTCGAAGATATAAATTTTAAGAAATTATTGTAACTAGAAAAAAGTAGGGATAGAATGTAATTTAATATTCGGGAAAGGGTCATATTTGTCCTTGAACTCATAGAAAAGGGTCATTTTTACCCTTGTCATACTTTTTTGATATATTTACCCTTACCATTCAACTTTGGGTACATATTTGCCCTTATACAGTTAACTGATCATGTCATCCTTTTTATTAGTCTATGTGGCGCTTACATGGCTCCATGTGTATATACTTTTATTATAAAAAAAATATTTTCTATTTTGTATTATATCTGACCCATTTAGTAAAACCTGACCCAACCAATGTGAAGACCCATTAATAAAATTCGACCCATTTGTAAAATCCGACCCAACTAATGTGAAAATTCATCTGCCCTAACTTCATACCCTTTAGATGAACACTCCATACAGTG